ACGGACGGTCCAGGAATCAGCGTGTTTTTACATGAGTAGAAAGTTTCCTTTTATTTAAAATACATCTCTGGGTTATTTGTGGGGCATAGGAATTAATTCTTTCTTTTTTTCAAAATATAGTCCAGCCCACCACATGGTCTGAGGGATGGTGGACCAGCCCACAGCTGAAAAAGCTTGCTGACCCTTGGTTTAAGGGGTTCCGGCACATACCTTGAGTTTGGTTTCCCTTGAAGGTCACCTGAGAAAGCTCAGTATACCTGAAGGAGCGCCTCCACCCCCATCGTGCACTGAGGTCCAGCTCTGAGGGCCTTCTGGAGGTTCCCTCCCTGTGAGAAGTGAGGTTACAGGGAACCAGGCAGAGGGCCTTTTCGGTGGTGGCACCCGCCCTGTGGAACGCCCTCCCACCAGATGTCAGGGAAATGAACAACTATCTGACTTTTAGAAGACATTTGAAGGCCGCCCTGTTTAAGGAAGTTGTTAATGTTTGATGTTTTTATTGTGCTTTTAATATTCTGTTGAGAGCCGCCCAGAGTGGCTGGGGAAACCCACCCAAATGGGAGGGGTATAAATAATAAATAATTATTATGATTATGATTTGCACGTACACTGGTTTGAGCATAAGATGAAAACTTCACCGCATTAACCTCCAATAGATAAGGTAAAGGTAAAGGGACCCCTGACCATTAGGTCCAGTCGTGGCCAACTCTGGGGTTGCGGTGCTCATCTCGCTCTATTGGCCAAGGGAGCTGGCCTACAGCTTCTGGGTCATGTGGCCAGCATGACTAAGCCGCTTCTGGCGAACCAAAGCAGCACACAGAAACGCCGTTTACCTTCCCGCTGGTGTGGTACCTATTTATCTACTTGCACTTTGACGTGCATTCGAACTGCTAGGTTGGCAGGAGCAGGGACCGAGCAACGGGAGCTCACCCCGTCGCGGGGATTCGAACCGCCGACCTTCTGATCAGCAAGCCCTAGACTCTGTGGTTTAACCCACAGCAATAGGGCTGCCCTATTAGGTTTCCAGGGGCTACTAATGCCATGGTATTGGATTTTCACTGACTGCAAATCAGACCTCTCTACCTCTCAGACCCAGTTCCAAGACTGCCGGTCTACTGCACACGCGGCATTTTAATGACATCACCTCGAGCTTGGCAGGCGTTGGGAGAGAAGGAAAGCATTCAGCCTTCCAGAAGGATCTCCATGGTTTTTTTTTAGTTTCCGTGGCAGAACATCACCTGTACTTGACTCTCTCTTTAGTTATGCAACCAAAGAGAATCTGCCAGGCTATGGTTATCCTCCAGTTCGACCTCATTAGATTGAACGGGGAGGAGGTGAGAGAAGGCTCAGATGCGGGAGAGAATAATAATGGGGGAAAGAAGAGAAGAACCTTTGTTTTATGAACAGGTCTGCGGGGCTGTAGGACCCCTAAACCCCACAAAGTTCAATTCCAATCTCATTACAATGAATTTGTGTGCAACCCTTCAGCACAAACATCAGAGGCTGTGATCGTTTGGGGTAGTTTTGTTCAGTTCTTTGGTTACTTAGAGGAGCGTGGGTAAAAGGGGGGGACTGTGCTGGCACCCATGAACGTGCAAGAAGAAGAGTAAGCATGTGGTCGTGGTTTTGTTCAATCTAGGGTTATCAATGCCTCTATAATTCACACAGTAAGGTAAAGGTAAAGGGACCCCTGACCATTAGGTCCAGTCGTGACCGACCCTGGGGTTGCGGCACTCATCTCGCTTTATTGGCCGAGGGAGCTGGCGTACAGCTTCCGGGTCATGTGGCCAGCATGACTAAGCTGCTTCTGGCGAACCAGAGCAGCGCACGGAAATGCTGTTTACCTTCCCGCCGGAGCGGTACCTATTTATCTACTTGCACTTTGACGTGCTTTCAAACTGCTAGGTGAGCAGGAGCAGGGACCGAGCAACGAGAGCTCACCCTGTCGCGGGGATTCGAACCGCCAACCTTCTGATCAGCAAGTTCTAGGCTCTGTGGCTTAACCCACAGCGCCACCCGGATGAACTTAAACTCTTAATAGGGAAAGGTGAATAAGATTTAACAGGCATTACTGAAACCTAGTGAAATAAGACTCGTTATGTGAATGTAGGGTTTGGAAGTTACATTTTATTGAAAGGGAACAGACCAAACAAGAAGGGAGTTGCATTATATACAACAGATGTGTTCACATGCAAGGAAATACATGAAATCGATGGACAGGCCAGTTGTCCCAAGAGCCCAACAGCCAAGCCCGGGGCTGGCAAAGCTGATTTTTGCAGGAATTGTGGAGAACTTTTGTCATGCAGCAGATCTGCCCCTACCTGCCCCACTCCTGACGTCACATAGGACATCAGGTGTGGGGCGGGTGGTTCAGGAATACAGCCTCATGGGCCCAAACTGGGGCAGCTGCATCAAAAGAACTTTCTGATGGAATTTAGATTTAAAAGGGTGATACGTAGCAAAACCAAAGGAGGGCGAAACCATCAAAATAAGTACAAAGCTTGTGAGGAAAGTGTCTGAAGTGTATTGACTATCCTAGACTGACAATATGGGAGAGGATAAGCTATAGAAGGCGAGACTCGGAAGAGAGCGCTGTATAACACTAACTCGCCGACTTGAAGGTTGAAGTTGGGCCCAGACCAGAATTTACAATTGCAGTATCTGCTGTATGACAGCAGCATGTCGGAGCGGATTGACGTAAAGCAAGGCGATTTAAATGAACAAATCACCGTATTTTTCGCTCCATAAGACACACCTCACCATAAGACACACCTAGCTTTTAGAGGAGGAAAACAAGAAAAAAAATATTCTGAATGAAACAGTGGATGTATGATTTTTGTGGTTCATGCTGAGCATCTATGTGGATCCATGCTTTGTAACCATGTTTTTGCACCATTGCGGCCCCACCCAACAGTGGGTGCATGATTTTTTTTGGTGCAGGCTGTAGCCATGGACATGCTATGCGATCTGATGGTGAATTTGGGGTGACCAAATGTAAAAATCCTGAGGATCCATGGGCTTTTACCTCCCCCCTCCCAGGCAGCCTCCCCTAGCGTCCCTTATCTCTCTTCTGATCTCACCGATCAGCTGTTTCCTTTCAACATTCTCTTCCCTCTTGTTTGCCTTAGTGTCTTTTCCTTAGCTGGAGAAGTTTTTTTGCTCCTCTTCTTCTAATTTCTCTCCTTATTACTTTAGTCTTCTTGTTTCCCCCCTTTGCAAGTTTGCTGTCTTTACCTCCCCCCTCCCAGGCAGCCTCCTTTATCTGTAGCGTCCCTTATCTCTCTCCCCGATTGGCAAACGATCAGCGGCTTTGTTTCAACACCCACTTCCCTCTTTCAAAAAAAGAAAAAAAAGAAAAAAGCATGATCTGCTTTTTGCCCCTGGGCAATTCGGCTCCAGGGACCACACATTTGCCCCATAAGACGCTCAGACATTTCCCCTTACTTTTTAGGAAGAAAAAAGTGTGTCTTATGGAGCAAAAAATACGGTAATAATTTAAATCAGCTATAACACTCCAGGAGGTGCTCTCAGGGGCTAGTCTCTCATCCTAGGAGGTACCTGCCAACACAGCCAGGGTTGAAGAGGTGGCACAGTCCCAACAAGCCAAGGTCAAGTACAGTGTATCGATCTAGGTCTAAACATAATCCAGAAACAGGATCAGGCAATTGCAAGGTCATTATCACAGGGAACTCAGGCAATATACGTCACAGCAAGGTGCTGAGGACAGAACTATGAGCTAGAGACCTGGGTTGCTTCTAGCAAGACTCGAGAGGAAGACATTATATACTCCAGAAATTGTGTGAGTTTCTTGTAGAAACAAAAAAATAATAATCAATGAACTGGATTTTAAGAAGTATTAGCTCTCCGTTTTTGGAGGGCTGGTGTTCTTTCATTTTGGAAACTCAAACTGGGAAGTAATGTTTGAAAATAAGCGATACACAACTAGTGGTAGAACATCAGGTCAGTCACACTCTTTAAGTCCATCTGTGTAAATCTGTGGAAGTTAACCAACAAAGTGATTAGGAGACTATACGACACCAGGATGGCAGAGTACACCATATATCCAGGTACACAAATATTAGCAACAACGTGGTTACAAGGGGACTTCCATACATGTGTGATGAGACGGTGGAGATGGTCTTCCAGAGCAGGCTTTCCCAAACTTGGGTCTCCACCTGTTGTGGGACTACAACTCCCATCATCCCTAGCTAGCAGGACCAGTGGTCAGGGATGATGGTAACTGTAGTCCAAAAACAGTTGGAGACCCAAGTTTGGGAAACTGCCTAGAGCCTAGAGGACCATCCCCAATAACTTCTGAAAGGCTGTAGGCTGCTCAGTTCCTGAAGACCCACCAGTTGTTTTAACATTCACTTTCTTGTGATTCTGGAGGATTCTCAAAATACCCTCAAGCCAATAACTACTCTTAGGATTTTTAAAATAGTTTCTACAGCTGTTCTTGATAGCAAGTAGGGCCCTAAAGACTTCCAACAGAATATCAATGGTTACTGAAGTGGCAAATTTTTTTTATTGAGAAATCTGACTCATCACTGTTGGGTTACATTTCTTTATATTAGTGCAGTCATAAAGGATCTGTGGTTTGGGGGTTTTCTCTCTCTTCTGCGCCACTATGACAGCAACACCTTCCTTGGGAGCAGCAGCAGATGTTTGGTGCAATGTAGTGACTCAGAGCATCAATTCCTTATTTTATTATTATGATTATTATTTATTGAATTTATATACTACCCTATACCTGGAGGTCCCAGGGTGGTTCACAGAACAAAAAAAGTTCAAACTTATTGGAATCAATTACCATATTTTTTGCTCTATAAGACTCACTTTTTCCCTCCTAAAAAGTAAGGGGAAATGTGTGTGCATCTTATGGAGCGAATGCAGGCTGCGCAGCTATCCCAGAAACCAGAACAGCAAGAGGGATTGCTGCTTTCACTGCGCAGTGATCCCTCTTGCTGTTCTGGTTTCTGGGATTCAGAATATTTTTTTTCTTGTTTTCCTCCTCCAAAAACTAGGTGCGTCTTGTGGTCTGGTGCGTCTTATAGAGCGAAAAATACGGTAATCATATGAGTTTTACTATTTTGATCAATTAATCTATCTAGAATTTGCTCATGGGTATAAACAATATTTTTGAAGCAACTAGCATTTTTGAAGCCACCATGTTAGACGGCATAGTCCCCATCTTGCATGTGAGAGGGGGGAAAAGGCTTTTCTAAAATATTAGAGGGAAATGTGTGTTAGGAGAAGAAATCCCAGGAATAATGATGTCCTCTGTGTTTTGCTTTTCGTGTGGGGGGGAAATGTAAAGTTAAAAAACCCCAGAGCTTCCCCAAATAAGATTTTAATATTTTTGCAATAAATTAGAACTGCGCCCCTTCCAGCTTTTCCCTTTCTTTGGAAAATATCTTAGAGCTCATGATGACATCAACACAGGTGAAGACAAAGAATTACACAAGCATCCAGACAGGAGAGACACATCAATATCACACCCAAATCCTCCACCTAGTTGCGTAAGTGCCCTGAAGCTTACATGTTCGCAGTATTTTATTTCCTAAATCTGTCTGCATTAACAGCAGCATCTTAAAAGCTGTTGACGAACCAGCGGCTGCTAGGTGGGTCTCCAGTATTCAGTTCAGTGCATTTGCAGTTAAACAGTCACACAGAGTCCTCTTCTCCACTTTAAAAAGCAAGGTCTCAGTCTGTAGGAATAGAAAGGGGGGGGGAGAGAGAGGAATAAACGTTGGGGGGCAAACTTAGCATAAACCGATTGCATCACCTCCTGCATTTTGTCACAAACGAGGAAGCTGGAGAAAAGGAACCAAACTTGTCATTCATGGATCCGAGTGGTAAGGTAAAGGTAAAGGGACCCCTGAACATTAGGTCCAGTCGTGACCGACTCTGGGGTTGCGGCGCTCATCTCGCTTTATTGGCTGAGGGAGCCGGTGTACAGCTTCCGGGTCATGTGGCCAGCATGACTAAGCCGCTTCTGGCAAACCAGAGCAGTGCATGGAAACGCCATTTACCTTCCCGCCGGAGCAGTACCTATTTATCTACTTGCACTGGTGTGCTTTCGAACTGCTAGGTTGGCAGGAGCAGGGACCGAGCAATGGGAGCTCACCCCGTCGCAGGGATTCGAACCGCCAACCGGGATTCATGGGCTGCTTAGGACCAGTCTCCCAACCAATCATGACTGCTGTTGAAGATCGAACTTCTACTGGCATCTCCCCAGTGCACTCTTAATTCTTGACTCCCTCATTTCTCAAGTTGCATGGAGCTCAATGTGCACTGTGTACAACGCAACTGAGTTTATCAACACAACAGCGAGCAGAAGAGTTGAGCAGACAACGAGAGAAGTCAGCATTCAGCCTTACGAGCTTTGGCCAGCCACTCGCTCTGTGTGTGCATGCATGTGTATGCACATGTACACTTGGAAAGAGTTGAGAGGAGATTGAGAAGATGAGGGAGATGCCTGCTACAGTTGTGGCAAATAGAAGGGGAAGAAATGGAGGCAGTGAGAGATTTTACTTTCTTGGGCTCCATGATCACTGCAGATGGTGACAGCAGCCACAAAATTAAAAGACGCCTGCTTCTTGGGAGGAAAGCAATGACAAACCTAGACAGCATCTTAAAAAGCAGAGACATCACCTTGCCGACAAAGGCCCATATAGTTAAAGCTATACGGTACAGTAGTGATGCATGGAAGTGAGAGCTGGATCATAAAGAAGGCTGATCACCGAAGAATTGATGCTTTTGAATTATGGTGCTGGAGGAGACTCTTGAGAGTCCCATGGGCTGCAAGAAGATCAAACCTATCCATTCTGAAGGAAATGAGCCCTGAGTGCTCACTGGAAGGACAGATTCTGAAGCTGAGGCTCCAATACTTTGGCCACCTCATGAGAAGAGAAGACTCCCTGGAAAAGACCCTGATGTTGGGAAAGATGGAGGGCACAAGGAGAAGGGGATGACAGCGGACGAGATGGTTGGACAGTGTTCTCAAAGCTACCAGCATGAGTTTGACCAAACTGCGGGAGGCAGAGGAAGACAGGAGTGCCTGGCGTGCTCTGGTCCATGGGGTCACGAAGAGTCGGACACGACTAAACGACTAAACAAAAACAACAGGGAGTTGCACATTGAATCACCCAATCTAGTCCAGACAGACTCTAACGAGAAGGAATCAGCTAGCAGCAAGTACCGAACCAGACAGTAGGACGGTCCTTGTGGATTTAGAGACCAAAATAATTCTGAACGGAACTGTGGCATTTTCCCTACAGCCCAATCCTTTCGTTTCTGTAAACTCAAAAGATGACATTTTCATTGAGCTTTCATCTTGGTGTCTTGGCCCTTTTTCAGTTTGCTGAATGAGAGATCTGCCCCTGCACACAAACCCTGTTCATTTTCAGTTGTGGGGAGGGCGTTATTTCAGGGTTTTCCTACAGAGGAAGAAGATCAAGTTGATGGGTCTCCTGCTGGCTCCAGGTGTGGTTGCAGAGGAGCTTTCAGCCCTGAAAGCAACTGCATTGCAGCACAAACCTATTCAAATCGACTCAGAAATAATCCCCCAAATCTGTATAGGAATGCAGCTCTCCTCAAATACGCTGTGATGCTAACAGTATGTGCCTGCTTCTGGTTCTCTCTCTGTCTTCTAAGCACTTGCCCAATTATTTAATCAAGATGAAGCTGAATTGAAGGGCACAGTAAGGTTACTGCAACGATGGAGCCTTGGCCTGACCAAAGATAAGGCAGCTCTTTCTCTTTCCCACTAAATGTGCTCCTTTGAAATGCAGGCAAGGTGAAGTGCTCAAGTTACCATCTCAGTGGCATAACAGAAGCAGTGAATTTTGACTCAGCATCCCTTTAGCTACCATGTAAATGAGCTCCAAGAATGTGTCAGCAGTTTTGTTGCAGGAGTTAAAATTGAGGCAAACACGCTTGTCTTGTTTGCCCATCTCGCCGGACAGCCAACACAAAGCACATCTAGGGTGGTGTTCAGTGAAGTTTCACACAGAGTGGACTGTCTGAAATGAATGGATGTGACTGCTAGGTCCACTAATATCAATCCTCTGAGTAAAACATACCGTATTTTTCGCTCTATAGGACGCACTGGACCATAGGACGCACCGGACCATAGGAGGGGGAGAACGGGGGGGGGATTCTCCCCCTCTCTGCTCAGCGCTCCTTCAGTGAAGCGGCAGGAGAAACGGAGCCCCTTCCATTTCTCCTCCCGCTTCACTGAAGGGGCGCTGCGCAGAGAGGGGAAACTGTGCAGCGTCTCTCCAGCGAAGCGAAGTCTGGAGAGCAAGAGGGATCAGTGTGCACCGACCCCTCTCGCTCTCCAGGCTTCAGGCGGCTATCCGCAAGCCTTCGGAGCGCAGCGGGAGTTCCCGCTGCGCTCCGGGGGCTTCAGGCGGCTTCAGCGAAAGCAACGCAAAGCCTCCGGAGCGCAGGGGGAGCTCTCCCTCAGCGCTTCGGAGGCTTCGCGTTGCTATCGCTGAAGCCAAGGAACCTGCATTTGCTCCATAAGACGCACACACATTTCCCCTTAATTTTTGAAGGGGGAAAAGTGCGTCTTATAGAGCGAAAAATATGGTAGTTGGATGCAACCAATAAAATAAAATAAAATGTCACCTCTGCTAACTTAAATAAGATTCTGCTGTGAACTGAACTGAATTATGACATGGGCACAGAATTCATCTGATAAGCTGTGTGTACAGTTTCTTTCTTTAAACATTTGTGTAATTTAAGGGGCAGATCTTTATTTTAGATGACTGTACTTTTATCCTCCTAATATTAAACCTATTGATAGAGATTGTGAAAAGGGAACTGTTTAAGAAGGCCCAGGAACATAGGAGCCAACTCCTAGGGGCTGAGATTCCTTTGGCCCCCTTAAAAATTTTTTTGAGGGGGCCAGACCGCTCCCAAAGTTGATGAGCATTGCCATTCAAATTGTGATCAGTGATGTGGGGGCAGGGCTTACGTGACACTTCCCCAATATTTTATTAAAGTTGGCACCCTTGACCAGGAAACAATGTTCATTTCCTTCATCTTTCCAGTAACCTGTGGTTATTTTCCAGGGAGAGCCACAACTCTGGTTAAAATTCAAATTCTACAAAATACTGCATATGCAAATACTAGGCGATTTTATGTCCCTGAGCCCAGACCTTTTGAGAACCTTGTAGTGTCCCTGCAAGGAACAGCATTTATGGAGAAAGATCACTAGATTTAAGTGAAAAGAGAGGCCATGAAGGGTGTTTGTTCTGAACTCTTGATAGCATCCCGTGTTGCAGATGAAAACCTTCTTGGTTAGTGTGCAAAGGAAATGAGAATAGATCAAGATTGCTCTCTAGGAGAGAAAAAGGAAGGTGGTGGGTTGACTGAAGCTTCTTTCACTTACTGCAGGCATAGGCAAACTCAGCCCTCCAGATGTTTTCGGACTACAACTCCCATCATCCCTAGCTAACAGGACCAGTGGTCAGGGATGATGGGAGTTGTAGTCCCAAAACATCTGGAGGGCCGAGTTAGCCTATGCCTGACTTCCTGGCTCTACACTAATGGCCAGGTTTTTCATGGCTATTTTTTTAAAAAAGAAAATCCTCTCTTAGGGCACTTTAGTCTGGACCGGAAAAAAGTACCAAAGTGGCTTGGAGCAGTGGTTGAAATGAGGAACTGATTTCCTCTTCCCTCACAAAATAAAGTTGCTATCTGCCCTGGAATTCCTGTTCTTTAACTCTGGTGACCAAAAAAGTACTTTGCACATGCGTTGGCAATATTCTAAATTATTAGTGCACGTATTCCAGATCTCAGTTTAGCAGCACATTCTGGGTCTCATCCAGTCAACAAATTAAATTCCCAGGGCCCTGATCTTAGGGACGGAAAAGAGTGAAAATCCAGCTGATAAGCTCTAACCAGCAGCATTATAGTAACCATTGCTGTTCTGTTTAATTGAGTATGTACTTGAAAGCAGCTTGGGGACCAATACTGAAATCAGAGAGTTAGACGAAACCCCCATTCTGTGAGAACTACTTATTGTTTTCAGAGCAATGTGTTGGGGCTATGTGGACATTTTATACCCCAATTTCATATCTGTTTAATTCTTATGGCGTCTGGTTGTAGAACGTTTGGGATTATTTTTGTGCAGCAGCCACAGCTATCAAATAATAATTCTCCGCATCCTCAGCAAACTATGCCCCCCTAGGTTCTTTCAGGAAAGTCACGTCAGGTTAAATTATTTGGAAACTGGCTTCAAAACAGTCTGCAGGCAGATTGTTGATGAGTTCATACTTTCTCCCTGCTCAGGTTTCACAAAGGGCTTCCTCAGCTTCTGCCTTCTCTGAATATTAAACAGCTGAACCGAAGCACATAGTTTAAGAAAAAGTCATGCTTGCCTGAAGGTGCAGAACATGAACACGCATAATAAATAAATAAGCCAATAATCCCCCAACACAGGTTTTCTTTTTGGCTGGGCCTGGGTACCGTATTTTTCGCTCTATAAGACGCACCAGACCACAAGACGCACCTAGTTTCTGGAGGAGGAAAACAAGAAAAAAATATTCTGAATCTCAGAAGCCAGAACAGCAAGAGGGATCGCTGTGCAGCGAAAGCAGTGATCCCTCTTGCTGTTCTGGCTTCTGGGATAGCTGCGCAGCCTGCATTCGCTCCATAAGACGCACAAACATTTCCCCTTACTTTTTAGGAGGGAAAAGGTGAGTCTTATAGAGCAAAAAATACGGCAAGTCTTGAGGAACACACTGGAACTCACTAAGAATTTTTGCTTTTCTGATATTGCGAGCCTCCTCACGTGCACGTTAGATGACTTTGTTCCACATTCAATTCCAAACACTTTAAATTCCAAACCAGTCTTTAAAACATTTCGCTTTTTCCGGAGCTGGCGTTGTGTACCGGTTTGCAAACTATTCCAACCTTTTGGATGGTTCATTGATTTCTGGGCATGGGCAAGAGAACCTGAGGCAAGAAATGGGCACCAACAGGGGTAGAGACAAACAATTAACGTGGGAACAGAGAGAGAGAGAGATAAAGAGGACAGGGGGAAAGATCACCCCCCCACACACACAATTGCTCTCTTTTGGCAGAGCGTTAAAAGAAACAAAATCGTGTTGTGCCCAGATTAAGGAACAAGCCTTACCCGTGAGTCTAAGTTGTATGCCGTTTTCTTTAAATCTTGCAAAGCCCTCTGCATGAACTCAAACGCATGGCAGTCAACACATGGGCGACCTAAGGGTGGAGAAATGTTGGCAGACAAGCACGAAATATTATTGGAAATGAAAACAACGGGAGAAGAGCCTGCTGGGCCAAACCAAAGCTCAAGCATAATCCATCCTGTTCGTCTCACAGGGACCAACCAGATGCCTATGAAAAGTCCACATGCAGAACCACAGCAGAACATCACTCGCCCTACTTGTGTTGCCTGGCAAATGGCTCGCTGAGACGCATCACTTCTGACAGTGCAGGTAAAGGTAAAGGGACTCCTGACCATTAGGTCCAGTCGTGACCGACTCTGGGGTTGCGGCGCTCATCTCGCTTTATTGGCCAAGGGAGCCGGTGTACAGCTTCCAGGTGATGTGTCCAGCATGACTAAGCCGCTTCTGGCGAACCAAAGCAGCGCATGGAAACGCCGTTTACCTTCCCGCTGGAGCTGTACCTATTTATCTACTTGCACTGATGTGCTTTCGAACTGCTAGGTTGGCAGGAGCAGGGACTGAGCAACAGGAGCTCACCCCGTTGTGGGGATTCGAACCGCCAACCTTATGATCGGCAAGTCCTAGGCTCTGTGGTTTAACCAACAGCGCCACCTGCGTCCCCAGTGCAGGTAGAATATAGCAATTCTGGCTACCATACCCTCCAACATTTTTCTGATAAAAATAGGGATGTCCTAGTCAACAACAACAACAACAATAATAATAATAATAATAATACCCCTCATCTGACTGGGTTGCCCCAGTCGCTCTGGGTAGATTCCAACATATATAAAAACATAATAAAACATTAAACATTTAAAAAACTTCCCTATACAGGGCTGCCTTCAGATGTCTGGGGGGTCGGGTAACTCCAAAGCCTCCAACGAAAATAGGGACGTCCTAAGGAAAAGTGGAGGGCACAGGTGGCGCTGTGGTCTAAACCACTGAGCCTCTTGGGCTTGCTGATCAGAAGGTCGGCGGTTCGAATCCCCGCGACGGGGTGAGCTCCCATTGCTCGGTCCCTGCTCCTGCCAACCTAGCAGTTGGAAAGCACGTCAAAGTGCAAGTAGATAAATAGGTACCGCTCTGGCGGGAAGGTAAACGGCGTTTCTGTGCACTGCTCTGGTTTTGCTAGAAGCGGCTTAGTCATGCTGGCCACATGACCCGGAAAAACAGACTGCGGACAAACGCCGGCTCCCTTGGCCAGTAAAGCGAGATGAGCGGCGCAACCCCAGTGTCATCTGCGACTGGACTTAACTGTCAGGGCTCCTTTACCTTTAACTTTTTAAGGAAAAGCGGGGCATTCTGGGACCAGATCAGAAACTGGCATGGCTTCTGTAAAACCGGGACTGTCCCTGTAAAATAGGGTCTGGGCTAGTAGGCTTGGTAGCGTTATTCTCAGCGAATTTGTCTAAACCTCCTTTTAAGCCATCCAAGTTTGTGTCTGATTTAAAGCCATCTAAAATTGGCAGCAGATTCCGTTGTTTTAATTATGCACTGAAGAAGTACCTCCTGAGTCTTCCAACATTCACAGGATGACTTCACAGAATGACTTCCTAGTATTTGGACAGATGGAGAAAAGCACTCTATATACCCAGTTTCTCTCTATTGATGACTTCACTGGTTTGACAAAAACAGCTTTCCACAACTTGCCTGCCTTACAGATGTTCCGAACTACCTCTCCCATTCACCCCAACCATCAGAACTGGCAGGGGTCCAGGCTGGGGAACAACTGTTTTAGTCAAATAACCAAAGCACACACAGAAATATGTAGTGTATCAATATAGGGCAATCTGCCTATGACAGCATGAGTCCGATAGCTTTTCCATACTCATTACAATTTCAGCTTTTGTTTTTGAGTCCCTGTGACACAGCAGAAAATTGCACAATGCCCAAGAATGTCTGCAAAGACCTCAGCATGAACTATCCTGACATAGCAATTTTGCCACTGGGTCATGACTTCGCACAAAATAACATCCAGGTTCCGCTCAGATTTGGGAAGGAGTCCCTGACTCACAATCTGAGAAACAGCACGTGCCTCAAATGCCCAATTAAATTGCTACCTCTAGCTGAATTGCAAAATATAAACAGTCTACCCAAATATCAAAACCAAACTTGAGCATGCAAACTAAATGAGTACAGTACCAGCAAAAGTTAGAAAATTGGGAGTTTTTAGCAACTGAATTTGTTTGCTGCAGTTTGGAAAATGGCACCAGCACAGAGCTGGGAAGAGATAAATACGATCAAAGCCAAAAGCTGCAAAATTCTCATGTGCAGAGCAACAGGGCAAGTTTATACCTCTTTACAAAAAAAAACCTTTAATATTTAAAGCAAATATAAACTGTAAAATATATTCAGAACTATGCTTCACGGTTTTAGGATAAACTTCCAATAACAGTGCAAATGAAGTGTTTTGGGCAGTACTTTCAATTTCCTTCCACGGTGATGATTTCCAACACCTCCCACACAGACTCTCCCCTCCACCCTCATTTTTGCTACCATTAGGATGTTCCTAATGGTGCTGGAGGAGACTCTTGAGAGTCCCATGGACTGCAAGAAGATCAAACCTCTCCATTCTGAAGGAAATCAGCCCTGAGTGCTCATTGGAAGGACAGATCCTGAAGCTGAGGCTCCAATACTTTGGCCACCTCATGAGAAGAGAAGACTCCCTGGAAAAGACCCTGATGTTGGGAAGGATGAAGGGGACGACAGAGGACGAGATGGTTGGACAGTGTTCTCGAAGCTACCAGCATGACTTTGACCAAGCTGCGGGAGGCAGTGGAAGACAGGAGGGCCTGGCGTGCTCTGGTCCATGGGGTCACGAAGAGTCGGACACGACTAAATGACTAAACAACAACAACAACAACAAAGGACGTTCCTTGTGATTTGCCGATGGGATACATGCACATCCAAAGGATGTTCTTGGGAAGCTGCCCTGTGCCTGGGAATTACGGTAAGTGTGCATACATGCAAAAATCTCGCCTCGAAACAAAAATTAGCTATATAAAAGTCACCGGGAAATACAAAAGCTGCTCAGACAGGCAGACATACCCAGTGCTGCATTCCCTTTCGCCACCCTGAGTTCAGATAAGCTCCTCAAAGTGGTGCATGCAAGTTTCTGCCTTTGGGCAACCCACGTGCAGGATTCAAGCACACCTCTGGTCTCCAGCAACTCGTATTCTCCAGCTATGGAGGCAGAGCTTAGCCATCATGGCGAAGTAGCCTTCAATAGCCTTCTCCTCCATGAGAATTTGTCTAATCCTTTTTAAAAGACATCTAGATTAGTGGTCATTAGTACCTTCTGTGGGAGCAGGTTCCATCATTTAACTGCACTCTGCATGAAAAGAAACTTTGTTTTATCTGCCCTGAACCTTTCAACGTGAAGCTTCGTTGGATTTGATATCCCACTTTATCACTACCCGAAGGAGTCTCAAAGCTGCTAACATTCTCCTTTCCCTTCCTCCCCCACAACAAACACTCTGTGAGGTGAGTGGGGCTGAGAGACTTCAGAGAAGTGTGACTAGTCCAAGGTCACCCAGCAGCTGCATGTGGAGGAGCGGAGACGCGAACCCGATTCCCCAGATTACGAGTCCACCACTCTTAACCACTACACCACATTGGCTCGTTGGATGTCTAAGAGTTCTAGAGTTATGAGAGAGGAGGCGGGGGGGGGGCTTTCTCTCTCGCTCCCCTTTCTCCATGCCTTGCGTGGAGAACTTCATAAACTTCTATCGTGTTTCTGACTTGCCTTTCCTCTAAACTAAAAAGTCCCAAACGCTGCAACCTTTCCCCGTAGCGAAGTCGCACCATCTCCCTAGATCTATGCTGTAAGCCACCCAGAGTGGCTGGGAAAACCCAGCCAAATGGGAGGTGTAAATAATAAAATTATTATTGTTGTTGTTGTTGTCTTGTTGGTTGCATTTGCCATTTTATTGCCCATTCACTCTGTTATGTACTGAAGTTCTCACCCTGGGCCAGCAGGGGGATACTGTAGATAGTTCAGGCCCACATATGCAAATAAGGGATCAAAAGTGACATTCAATGATTGGCTAGTTACAGAAAATGGTTACTGTTGCATTCTAGTGGAGCTCTATATAAGCAGGCTGGCTGAACCCTTCAGTTCAGTTCTGTTCTGGCCTGTGAATAAACAAGAGCCGTTTGAAGAATTACTGTGTCGTCTGATATGTTCACCCACAACTTAACACACTCAGTCTGGAGAGATCCTTTCAGAGATCTTCGCAATCTCATTTTTGTTTCAACAACTCTGAACACATCCGCAAACTTGGTCTTCTCACTGCTCGGTCGTAACTCCAGATCATTTATGAATACGGTAAAAAGCAGAGGTCCAAACACCAATCCTTGTGAGGGACTCCACTTTATTCTTTATTCCATTTGGATAACTGTCCCTTTATTGCTACCCTTTGCTTCCTGCAGCTTAGCCAGTTCCTGATCCACTGGAGGACCGGACCTCTCCTCTTATTAGCTGGAACCAGGGGTCTGCCTATCTGAAATTCAGCAGTTTGCTTGGTATCAGTCCTCCCCTCCCTGTAGTAACTGCACAGATAAGAATTAACGAGCAGTTGATAGCTTTATAGTCCTTTTATTACGGCATCATGTTGCAAGCACAAGCACACAGCTCTCCGCAAGGAAAGAAGGGCAGTTGGCTAGTCTATTCCTCCTTCCGGCTTCTGCAGCATTTTGGGTGCCAAACGGACGTTCCTCGCTCCCTCTGACCCCTTTGCTCTCTGGTACATTCAGGCTTCCGAGTCCATGGTGAGGGGGGGTCCCCTACGCTCTCAAGTGATGTCTCAAGAAAGATTTACAGCAGGCAGGAACTTCTGAAGGTCGGGTTACAGTGTGAACAAGCTGTAAGAGCTGATTATTTTCGCCCAGATAACGTTCCTGTGGGAGTAGCCAGGCCACCGGGCTCTCCATGGATTACTATGCCTCCAGGGAGGAGGCGAAGGCGGCGTAGAGACAGGAGGCAAAGGCGGGGTTGTCGGGCTGGCGTCCTGGTAAGATTGCAGAGGAGTCCATCTAAACCACCGCTCCCTAGCATATTTCTTGCTAATGTGAGATCTCTTACCAACAAGATGGATGAATTGAGGCTGCAGGCAGCAAAGAACAGCCTTGTAAAAGATTGCTGCGTTTTATTTGTCATTGAGACATGGCTTCAACCGTCCATACCAGACACAGCTATTCAGTTGGAAGGCTGTGCGGTACATCGTCATGACCGAGGCATGGACTTCGGAAAAACCAAAGGAGGGGGGCTGTGTGTATATGTGAACAAATGCTGGTCCAATAATTCGAAGACTGTGGGCAGTCACTGTTCACCGGATTTGGAATATGTGGCTGTTAAATGTAGACCAGCCTATCTCCCTAGGGAGTTCACAGCTGTTATGTTAACTGGTGTGTACGTGCCACCAGATGCCAATGCCAACTTGGCTTTGGGATGTCTGCAGGACCTTATCAGCAGCCAGCAAGACAAGTATCCTGAAGCTGTGCACATCATTGCGGGAGACTTCAACCATGTTGAACTTAAAACAGTGCTCCCAACGCTCTATCAGCATGTGAAATGTCCCACAAGAGGGGACAAGACACTGGATAAAGTTTATTCGAATGTAAATCACGGCTATAGGGCTTTACAGCTGCCACACTTGGGCCAGTCCGACCATATGTCTCTGTTCCTGGTACCAGCATATATCCCACTCAGGAAACGGGCTCCCACAATATTAAAATCTGTTAAAATCTGGCCTGAAGGTGCTATTCACCAGCTGCAGGACTGTTTTGAGAGAACCAATTGGGATATTTTCGATAGTTCAGACCTGGAGGAGCACACGGCGGCAGTTCTGTGCTATATCAATCACTGCACAGACACTGTCACAGTAAATAAATCCATCCGGTTTTACCCCAATCAGAAACCCTGGATGAATAGAGAGGTCCAGTGCCTGTTGCGAGAAAGGAACAGGGCTTTCAGGTCAGGCGAGGTGCAGCTTTACAGTGTAGCAAGAGCAAACTTGAGGAGGGGTATTCGACGGGCAAAATTGGATTATAGGCTGAGGATTGAGGATAATTTAAGGAGCAACAACGCAAGACAGATGTGGCAGGGGATTCAGCATATTACCAACTACAAACCTAACCTTGGTGCTGTCGACGGTGACCCTTTGCTGGCGGAGGAGCTTAACCTCTTTTTTGCTCGCTTCGAGAAGGAGCCACCTGAGACGCCGGCATTACAGCCACCAGCCCATAGGGGCCCCTCATTCACGGTAGAGGAACATGAGGTGAGACAGGTATTGAGGATGGCGAATCCGAGGAAGGCGGCTGGACCTGATGGCATCACTGGAAAGGTGTTGAAGGGCTGTGCGGATCAGCTGGCGAGGGTCTTTACTAAGATCTTCAATAAGTCCTTACACCAGTCTATTGTCCCACCCTGCCTGAAGTCGTCAACTATTGTCCCTCTGCCTAAAAAATCCACAATCAGTAGTTTGAATGACTACAGACCAGTTGCACTGACTCCAATCATCATGAAGTGTTTTGAGAAACTGGTGCGCCGTCACATTATTTCCTGTCTTCCATCAACTTTTGACAACTACCAGTTTGCATACAGAGCAAATAGATCCACAGAAGACGCCATCAATACCACTCTCCATGCTGCTCTGTCCCATCTGGAGCAGCCGGGGAGTTATGTGAGGCTGCTGTTTGTGGATTTTAGCTCTGCTTTTAACACTATCCTCCCCCATAGACTGGTGTCCAAGCTAGAGGCGATTGGACTCTCCAACTCCACCTGTCTCTGGGTTTTGGATTTTTTGTCAGAACGTTCTCAGAGGGTTAGAGTAGGGTCACATATGTCCACAGCCCTTAGCCTTAACACCGGCTCACCACAGGGTTGTGTGTTGAGTCCCCTGCTCTATGCTCTCTATACGTATGACTGTACAGCCATCTATTCCAGCAACAAAATCATCAAGTTTGCTGATGACACTACGGTGGTAGGGCTCATTTCAGGAGGGGATGAGTCCGCCTATCGGGACGAGGTGGAGCGGCTCTGTGTTTGGTGTGGAGAGAACAATCTGGCTCTTAATACGGCTAAGACCAAGGAATTGGTGGTGGATTACAGGAAAAAAAAGGCGGACATTCAGCCCTTGTATATCAACGGGGAACGGGTGGAGAGGGTGGCGGAATTCAGGTTTTTGGGAGTGACTATCGATCAGGGCATGACTTGGAGCGCAAATACCACTGCTCTGGTGAAGAAGGCCCAGCAGAGAATTTATTTCCTCAGACTTTTAAAGAAGAACAATCTGAGTGAGAGACTGCTGGTGTCCTTCTACCGAGGCTCCATAGAGAGCATTCTTACATACTGTATTTGTGCTTGGTTCTCCAGTTGTACAGCTAGGGAGAGGAAGGTGCTCCAGAAGGTCATAACCACAGCCCAAAGGATTATTGGTCATCCTCTCCCATCTTTGGAAGAACTGTACGGTTCCCGTTGTCTTAGGAAAGCAAATAACATCCTGCAGGATTCATCTCACCCGGGACACAGTCTGTTTGCACTACTGCCTTCTGGCAGGAGATATAGAAACATCAAGTCAAAGACAAATAGACTGAAAAACAGTTTCTATCCAAGAGCTGTGGCCTTTTTGAATGCTGTAACTCGATAGTGTGACCTGGGAGTTTGATGGGTGTTGGTGTGGGTGTGGCTGGAATGTGGTTTGTTTGGTTGTTGTTGTTGTTTTGCTTTTGTTGTTTTAAGGGATGGCATCCAATTTCGTTGCACTTTGTGCAATGTTGCACTTGTGTAATGACAATAAAGAATCTATTCTATTCTATTCTATTCTATTCTAACTAGCTGCCCCCTCCCTCCTGGTTCTGTTGTCATTATCTCTTAACTGGGTAACTCCTTCCTAAGCTGTTCATCTCCTCTCTCTCTCTCTCTCTCTGCTTCTGAACATGCTGTGGACAAGGGGGGGCAACTCTTCCTCCTCCAGCTCTCCACCGGAAAGAAGCTGGTCTGCCATAGAATGCATTCCCCAGTCCTCATCTTCAGGCCATTCCGACACTTGGGAAGGATAGCAGAAGGCCTCAACATTTCATGCCAATAGATGGGAAACAAAGACAAGCAGGAGAACAAGTGGAGTCTTCCACTGAAACACACGGAAAGCCTATAAGGATGTGTGGTGGGTTCGATCACGATTTGTAGCTTATGCAAATCGCTTTTCTGACAACACTCGGACTATGTATAATGTTATCACATCACATGGGAGTGTGGCACCATAGATATTCTTCTACTACAGAAGAATACGAATCAATTGAAATAGTTCGTATATAACTTGAGATATATATGCATGTCTGCAGTGCTTTTTTTCCTAAAAAAAATGTTTAAGGGGTACTCTCATTTTCCTACTCATATTGAAATACTGTCCCTCAATGAGGCCAAACTTAGATTCACAAAATGTTTAGGGGTATGCGTACCTCTGCGTTCCCCCCAGAAAAAAGCACTGCATGTGTGTGTCTCTGTAATATAATTTGCACTGACAGAAACAAGCTCCAGTTCTGAGGGCCTTCTGGCGGTTCCCTCCCTGTGAGAAGTGCGGTTACAGGGAACCAGGCAGAGGGCCTTCTCGGTGGTGGCGCCCGCCCTGTGGAACGCCCTCCCACCAGATGTCAAGGAAATAAACAACTATCTGACTTTTAGAAGACATCTGAAGGCAGCCCTGTTTAGGGAATCTTTTTAATGTGTAATGTTTTATTATGTTTTTATATATATTGGAAGCTGCCCAGAGTGGCTGGGGCAACCCAGTCAGATGGGCAGGGTAGAAACAAACAAACAAACAATTATTATTACTATTATTATGGCTTATTGGCTTATCCAGTGTTCACAAATTTGTTTGCATACTGATACTTCTTCTGAAGGATTTGGGCAGTGTTGTATTGGCAGCAACAGAATCAATTAGGAGCTGCATGCAAACATGTGTACCATAGACATACACACAAGGAACATACATATAGGAATCATAACTGAGTGGATATTCAAGCAAGGAACTGCAACCAGTGGCAAACTGTGATTTGTGTGAAATGAGCCTTGGGGTATCGGCATGAGAGACTAGATAGAACGCAGTACGTACTTTCAGCAGGGATTGTAGTTCCTGATTCTTCTTCGGCTGTAGCTGGCTTGGTAGAAAAAAGCCCAACTACAAGCATTAAAGGCACTAAAACGATCAGTTTGCTTATGCAGGGCTTCACCATTTCGCTAGTGGCGTCTTCCTCCTTCACTAGGGAAAACAGGAATTCAGAGACAAAGTAGCATTTTGAAGTATTACACTATTTGGATGGCCATCCTGGTAAGCAAACCCAAGTTTTTATCTACCGAATAGCCAGAGCAGCATCAGGAACACATCAAAATCCCCAGCTAATTCCAAACATCTTAATTAGCCCCCTCTCTAGTCACATCCATGAAACTGCAAACAAATTAACGCGGGTTAAAGGGACGCGGGTGGCGCTGTGGGTTAAACCACAGAGCCTAGGACTTGCCGATCAGGTCGGTGGTTCGAATCCCCGCGACGGGGTGAGCTCCCGTTGCTCAGTCCCTGCTCCTGCCAACCTAGCAGTTCGAAAGCAAGCCAGTGCAAGTAGATAAATAGGTATAGCTGCGGCGGGAAGGTAAACGGTGTTTCCGTGCACTGCTCTGGTTCGCCAGAAGCGGCTTAGTCATGCTGGCCCCAGAGCCTAGGACTTGCCGATCAGAGGGTTGGTGGTTTGAATCCCCACGATGGGGTGAGCTCCCGTTGCTCGGTCCCTGCTCCTGCCAACCTAGCAGTTCGAAAGCACGTCAAAGTGCAAGTAGATAAATAGGTACCACTCTGGCCGGCTCCCTCAGCCAATAAAGCGAGATGAGCGCCGCAACCCCAGAGTCGGCCACGACTGGACCTAATGGTCAGGGGTCCCTTTACCTTTACCTTTACTAGTCATATCCATGAAACTGAAACAATTTAATAACTGACACAGGGCCAAGCAAATATCATATGGTTTCTTAGCCAAAATACAATACTACAATTTTGTCTAGCCCTATACTATCTGCTACTTTGTGTACAGTTGCATGGATGTGCCTGAAGATGTGGGTCGATATAAATCTCTTAAGGGTTTGTTAGCAAAGGTAAAGGGACCCCTGACCATTAGGTCTAGTCATGACCGACTCTGGGGTTGCGGCGCTCATCTCGCTTTATTGGCCGAGGGAGCCGGCGTACAGCTTCTGGGTCATGTGGCCAGCATGACTAAGCTGCTTCTGGCGTACCAGAGCAGCGCACGGAAACGCCGTTTACCTTCCTGCTGGAGTGGTACCTATTTATCTACTTGCACTTTGACGTGCTTTCGAACTGCTAGGTGGGCAGGAGCAGGGACCGAGCAACAGGAGCTCACCCCGTCGCGGGGATTCGAACCGCCGACCTTCTGATCAACAAGTCCTAGGCTCTGTGGTTTAACCCACAGCGCCACCCGCGTCCCGTAAGGGTTTGTTACAGGTGGCCAAATTATTACCTGAGAAGCTGTGAAACTTCAAGTCTTACAAACTTCACTGTGCAATTTTATTTATTTTTAATTGAACTGTTAGATTTCACAGGTACAAGTATCACAAGCTGAAAATGTGTTTCAGCACTGCACAAACATTTCATGACACCAAAACATCAGGTGGGTTTGAGGATAATAATCTCTGCTGCAAACTATCCTAACTTTTTTTAAGCCAGCAGAGTGCTACCTACATCCATGGAAATCTGCATGTTCAGTATTTGCTTACAACATTTTAGAAAGGAATTGTGACAGACACATGATGTAGCAAAACACCACTGTGGCAACTCACCCAAACTCTAAACGTCTTGACACCTGAGATACTTGAGCAATTATTCATTTACAAACCCAGAATATCAACAGCGTGCTACTATTTAGTTATTTCTTAATACACTATTAACCCCTCCCCTTTCCTCATAAAAAGCTCAAGGTGACAAACGACAAAATCAAACCACAGTTTTAAAGTTACAAAAACAATATACATGAAGTTCTTGTGGCATGTGAAGGGGCATTGTTTACTATGACAGCTGGTCATTTTAAAATGTCACAAACTTTCAAAGCTTGTTAGAATGTTCTTCAGCCACAAATGTTCAAAGCAAAACGATGGAACGTCTTGCCATGGGGGGGGGGGTCCTCATGTTCAAAAGCCATGAAGAAGTGCTGTGAGGGAAGGCAGCGTCTATACATGATGATGTTATATAAGAATGCTCATTTGACATGCACAGAGGGCAACGCTGGAATTTTCCCCATTTTATATCAAGAGCAAAGATGCATTTAAACAACTGCAAAGGCAGTTCTTCCAGTATGTGGCTTCAGAACCACAGCTGCTGCATGAAAACACACGGCCGTCAGTGGTACGGCTACCTGCAAAAGCCCTAAGAATACCAATTTTGCAATTCCGAATAAAATTGCTTAACACAAACATATTACTTCGCATAGTTTTCGTTCTTTAAATAATATTGACTGAAAACCTGAGTGCATTTTAAAACCAGCCGTTTGCCAATATATTAAATTTAAGTCCTTGCTATAATTCTCTGCAAAGGCAGGGGTTTCTCCTACCCGTATATGTTAGGAATGACGATCACTGCCTAGAAGTGACTTGAGCTTCATGGAAGTCTTTGTTGTCTGGAATGGTGAAAAAGCCTTCTCACTGCACCCGTAAAACAAACATTGTCTCTGTTTTTCCAAAGAAGCTCTCAGTCCCAGCAGGCCGGCTCATCACAAGAGCTCCGGCAAGGAAATATGGCAAGAAGAAATCACCTGTTCCCTGCCAGTTACCTTGCCGTTTATTTTTTGCACAGCGAGCGATAGCTATTCAGGGACAAATTATAGCATACGATGAGCCAGTGCACGACATCTTTTCAGTTTTATAAAACAGGGGGGGAAACCCCTTTGCAGCAAATCATAAAATAGAAGTACCTGGTGTCTCACTTGCCTTTGTGATGGTCTCTTTGAATGGCTGCAGCAAACTGCTAGTGAGCATCTCTGAGCATGTGCACTGGCTCTCTTTATCCTTCCCTGAAAGGGGAGAGGATCTACCATGGCAACACCGCTGCAGAGCGCTCTACTCAAGGAGAGGCTTCAAGAACAATGGGCTGGGGATTGCTGCTTTATTATGAATGGTATCACTTTAAAGAGGGAAGCAACACCCCGTGGAAAAGTCAACCAAGACTTGCCTTAGTTTTAATCCCAAAGCCGCAGTACTGTAATATCTCTACCAGGACTATCTAAAATATGGCAGAATCATGAACAGTCCCCCCCAAGTTCTCCAGAACTCTTTATCAGGCAAGATGCTGAACCTCCTCACCCCCACCCAAGGATGGAAGAGAAAATAGGGGGAGGGATTTTATCCCTAAGTTTGCTGCTTTTGAGATGGAGCGTCCAAGAGGTAATGAGTCACAACTGGAACGGAGGAATAAATTCAGTTTAGCTATCTTTTCTTGCCACCAGTCCCTTAACCAATCAAATCCAATATCCAGAATGCTTTTTTTATACACAATTACACCCCCAACCTCTGGATGTGATGGATGAAAGAGTCAGCAATTGTAAAAAAAAAAAGCATTAAAAATTGTAAGAGAACCCTCTGGATTTCATGAAGTCTCCACATTGGCAATCTGATCCTGGCCCCAAAGCGTATATGTTGCTTCCCATACATGTACAGAGTCAGAAATATACTGTATTTTTCCATCTATAAGACGCCCCCTATTTCTGGGAACTCAGATTTAAGAAAACAGGGGGAGTTACAAGGGTAGAAAGTTTTATGCTAAAGATAAAGGTAAAGGGATCCCTGACCATTAGGTCCAGTTGTGACCGACTCTGGAGTTGCGGTGCTCATCTCGCTTTATTGGCCGAGGGAGCCGGTGTACAGCTTCCGGGTCATGTGGCCAGCATGACTAAGCTGCTTCTGGCGAACCAGAGCAGCGCACAGAAACGCCGTTTACCTTTCCGCCGGAGCGGTACCTATTTATCTACTTGCACTTTGACGTGCTTTCGAACTGCTAGGTTGGCAGGAGCAGGGACCGAGCAATGGGAGCTCACTCCGTCGCGGGGATTCGAACCGCCGACCTTCTGATTGGCAAGTCCTAGGCTTTGTGACGCTGCAGTAAATTAGTTAGTTTTTAAGTTAATTAGTTAGTAAATTAGTTAGTTTTTGACGTGCTTTCGAACTGCTAGGTTGGCAGGAGCAGGGACCGAGCAACGGGAGCTCACCCCATCGCGGGGATTTGAACCACCGACCTTCTGATAGGCAAGTCCTAGGCTCTGTGGTTTAACCCACAGCGCCAGTCAAATAATGGATCAAGTTGTCTGTGTGGTGGTGTTTTTTTTAAAAAAGCTTTATTTTATTTACTTGCCTTTTACCATAATGAATCAATGCAGGTTACAGTACAGTCTTTCCCCCACTTTTGTGAGTGTTAAGTGAAAATCACGTAAATAGGGAGCACCCTCAAAACACCCTCTCTGTCGGTCTCTCTCCAATCCAGACAAAAAATACTGTATCCAAAAATATCCACAACTAGAATTGAAGCTCTGGGACCAGCTGCTACCAGCTGCACATTAGTGGCTAGGCAGAGAGGCTGAGCAGCCTAAACAAAGCCCCAGGGCTCCTCCAGTATCTTTGGGGCTTCCTCTGCCCTCACTGACGTCCTCTTTGGGTTTGGGGGAGGGTCTCCTCGTGAGCTACGAGGACTTTCCAGTTCTCTCCTGCCATTTCCAGGTTTGAATTGAATTTTTAATTTATTTCCCAGCACTGCTCGTATGCGCAGTCGCACGCAAGTAAGTTGGGGGGGGCATGCGCATGGTGTAATGTACAGTTGCAGAAACAAGTGACACTGTTCCAAATGTAGAGTTCCCTCAGGACATGAAGAAGAAGAAGAAGAAGAAGAAGAAGAAGAAGAGGAGTTTGGATTTGATATCCCGCTTTATCACTACCCTAAGGAGTTGGTGGCGCTGTGGGTTAAACCAGAGCCTAGGAGTTGCTGATCAGAAGGTTGGCAGTTCGAATCCCCGCAACGGGGTGAGCTCCTGTTGCTTGGTCCCTGCTCCTGCCAACCTAGCAGTTTGAAAGCACCTCAAAGTGCAATTAGATAAATAGGTACCGCTCCGGCAGGAAGGTAAACGGCGTTTCCGTGTGCTGCTCTGTTCGCCAGAAGCGGCTTAGTCATGCTGGCCACATGACCTGGAAACTGTACGCCGGCTCCCTTGGCCAATAAAGCGAGATGAGCGCCGCAACCCCAGAGTCGGTCACAACTGGACCTAATGGTCAGGGGTCCCTTTACCCTTTACCTTAAGGAGTCTCAAAGCGGCTAACAATCTCCTTTCCCTTCCTCCCCCACAGCAAACACTCTGTGAGGTGAGTGAGGCTGAAAGACTTCAGAGAAGTATGACTAGCCCAAGGTCACCCAGCAGCTGCATGTGGAGGAGCGGGGAGGCGAACCCGGTTCACCAGATTATGAGTCCACCTTTCTTAACCACTCCACCACACTGGCTCCCAAGAGTGGCTTAGAGAGTGGAAAGCTCTCTTGAGGTAGGTAAATGGTGTATGTAGTGTGTGAAATTCGTTAATCACCTTTTATTTGACTGGGGCATTGGAGAACCAGGTAAGGTATGCTTGATGCAACCTAGAATAGCATTCACCTTTTTTGCTGCATCCCCCTGTTGACTCATAATAAGCTTGTGGTCCACCAAGACCCCTAAATCCTTTTCACATGCACAGCTCGTACAGCCAGGTGTCCCCCATCCTATATTGTGCATCTGGTTCTTCCTGCCTAAGTGCAAAACCTTACATTTGTCCCCGTTGAAATTCATTTTGTTAGCTTGCGCCTAGTTCTCCAGTCTGTTAAGGTCATTCCATGCTCCAGGTCATGGATTTCTTCACAAGTGTACACATCTTTTATGTATAATGCTCCTCCTTGCCAATTCCTGTTTGGTCTGTTCCTTTTGAACAGGTTATACCCCCTAATTCCTACATTCCAGTCATTAGTCATTCCACCAAATTTCAGTAATGCCTATAGGTCATATTTGCCATCCTGTATTAAAAGCTCCAGGGACGCGGGTGGCGCTGTGGGTAAAAGCCTCAGTGTCTAGGGCTTGCCAATCGAAAGGTCGGCGGTTCGAATCCCCACGGTGGGGTGCGCTCCTGCTGCTCGGTCCCAGCGCCTGCCAACCTAGCAGTTCGAAAGCACGTCAAAGTGCAAGTAGATAAATAGGTACCACTCCGGCGGGAAGGTAAACGCCGTTTCCGTGTGCTGCTCTGGTTCGCCAGTTGCAGCTTGTCACGCTGGCCACGTGACCCGGAAGTGTCTCCAGACAGTGCTGGCCCCCGGCCTCTTGAGTGAGATGGGCGCACAACCCTAGAGTCTGTCAAGACTGGCCCGTACGGGCAGGGGTACCTTTACCTTTTTATTAAAAACTCCAGTTAATCTTGCTTGTTTCCCATACTTGACAATATGTTTTAGACTGTTATTATTTTCCAGAACCGACCTTTCCAGAAGTGTTTTGACCTTGAGTAAGTCTCAACCAAGAGACTGGCTATTGTAGATAGAATCCAGAAGGGACCTCAACTAATTAGAAATGCTAATTTCCCCCTTGGAATCCACTTTTGAGAACAGAGCATTTTAGAGCTAGTTATTGGACCAAACACTCACCTGCTTCCTTAAGAAATGCCTTTATTAAAAGCTGTGTTTTCAAGTGATGCCCACTGAAGGCTTAGATGGCTGCTACAAGGTCCCATACACAGACAGACTTTGTATTTGTGGTCAACCTCAGGTGGAAGACACCACTCATTATCTGTTAGTCTGCCGCTTATATAGAGACCCAAGAGATTGTTGTTGGTTTTTTGCATTTCCCTGGCACAAATGGTTCAGTTTCTTTTGAGTGACATTCATAGCTTTGTAACACAGAGAGTAGCCCTCTGTGAACTGCCTGCAAAAACAAAAGCAACAAAAAGGAGTTATATAAAATCCCTGTAAATTCTTGTGGCGATTCAAAGGTTTAATATCAAATCAAGCTGGATTTGATTTTGTAGGTGTCTCTGCTTTCTCTCTCTGGATTTTAAAAGGGCAAAATATTACAATCGGAGCTGTCTGAGACGCACAAGGGAAACTGTTTTAATGCCCAGGAACTTGGCAAAGTCTTTTCTATATTATGAAATTTTATATTACGGATGCATTACGTTCTGTATTATTTTATTAATACTGCTGCTTAGTAAATCAATTTACTTCTTTTTTATTTTTACTAATACTGCTTTAAAAACAAGTTTGCCATGGCCTCTTAGGACCTGAACTTTGCAACCTGGCCACCAAGTTCTCTATCAACGTTTACTAGCCGCGATGGCTATGCTCTGCCTCTACATCTGGAGGCAACCATGCTTCAGAGTACCTGTTAAGTTGTGGGTGAACATATCAGACGACACAGCGATTCTTCAAACAGCTCTTGTTTATTCACAGGCCAGAACAGAACTGAACTGAAGGGTTCAGCCAGCCTGCTTATATAGAGCTCCACTAGAACGCAACAGTAACCATTTTCTGTAGCTATCCAATCACTGAACGTCACTTTCGATCCCTTCTTTGCATATGTGGACCTGAGTGAAAACTATCTACAGTATCCCCCTGCTGGCCCAGGGTGAGAACTTCAGTACATAACACTTTGCATACCTACATAAATGTAATACATACATAAATATAATTATCAGTGCTTTTTTCTGGGGGTTCTCAGGGGACATGCAATACCAGCACCTCCCCCCCCCGCTGGTGTTAAAAGTGTGGCACTCACTGTAACAATTTCATGATGAGTACCAGCCCTTTTTTCTGTAGAAAAAAGAGCACTGATAACACCAACACCACCACTGCTGTATTTGACAGATTGGTAAATGGAAGAGCCACTGAGGGCATTCCCTATCACAAGATTTCTGAAGCAGCAAAGTGAAAAACGGTTGCTGCGTCCCGTGGAAACAGCACTCTTCAGGAGAAGGGTAAGAGAGAATTGGGAAATGATCCATAATGAATTGGGAAAAATGTTTTAAAGTACTTTCCCCCCCAAACCCAGAGTCCTTTCTGTTGGGGGTAATTCAGACCAAAATTCCCAGGTGTCAAAAAAGGTGATTTATGTATGCTACTACAGCGGCCCGTGTTTTGTTAGCCTCAAATGGAAAATGAGCAAGGTCCCAACTAAACAAGAATGGCAACTTAAGTTGACAAAAGATGCACAACTGGCAGACTTAACATATAGACTCAGAGAACAAGAAGAACATACGTTTAGAGAAGATTGGAAAACATTTATTGAATATATGGGAAATAATTGGGTGCAGCTGAAAACACTGGCAGCCTTAAGATAAATGCAAGTTTTGATGTTTTGATGGATGCAATATGCCTGAATGGTATGGTTTCTGTAAAATATGCAGAGGTTCATGATATGTAAAATGAACCATGGAAACAGAAAAAAGTCATTGATATTTTAAGGATGTAAAAATGAATACTTTAAATTGTAAAACAGAACATATTATACATATATATATATATTTATATATATATATATTCTAAATTTCTAAAAAATTTAGAATTTTTTAATTTTTTAAAAATTTGTTTTACAATTTAAAGTACTCATTTTACATCCTTATAATATCAATGACTTCCTTTCTTCTATTTCCATGATTCATTTTACATATCATAAATATGTGTGTATGCGTGTGTGATTATATACAGTATATCAGTGTTCCCCAACCTTGGGCCTCCAGCTGTTTTTGGACTACAATTCCCATCATCCTTGACCACTGGTCTTGCTAGCGAGGGATGATGGGAGTTGTAGTCCAAAAACAGCTGGAGGCCCAAGGTTGGGGAACACTGCAGTATATAAAAAGAAACGGCCGCTCTTCGACCTCCGCACAAGCCCATCCTGGCTGGGAGGCGCCATCTTCCCGTACGGAAAAGCTCCATTTTGCTGCCCGGAAGGAAGCTGCTCTCTCTCTCTCTCTCTCGCTTGACCTGACGCGGGCGCCGCCATTTTGCACGGCGACCTTGCGCCGCCCGCCTCTTAAGACCTCGTCAGCTTTTTCTCCCCGGCGCGTGGGCGGCGCCATTTTGCGTTACGGACGGAAAGAGGCGGGGAAAGGGGCCGCGGGGGCCTTGCGGCCGTAGTCCTTCCTTCCTTCCCTCCATTTTTTTTTTTTTAGGTGTCTTCATAAAATGCCCGCCGAGAGCCTCCCCTCCCCTTCCCCCCCCCCGCTCCAAGATGGCGTCGATGCGGGAGAGCGACACCGGCCTGTGGCTGCACAACAAGCTGGGCTCGGCGGACGAGCTGTGGGCGCCGCCCAGCATCGCCTCGCTGCTGACGGCCTCGGTGGTGGACAACATCCGCCTCTGCTTCCACGGCCTCTCGTCGCCCGTCAAGCTCAAGCTCCTGCTGGGGATGCTGCACCTGCCTCGCCGCGCGGTGGACGAGGTGAGGCGAAGGGAGAGACCCCTGAGGAGGCCGCCCACCCCCAACCAGCCGTGAGGGAAGCCTGGACACCCCCCCCCCCGGGGACGGGCCCCGGCGCCCCTCAGTCGTCGCTTCGGCCCCCCCCCCGGGGTGGGCGCCGCTTCCTCCTGCCCCCCGAGGCCCATCGGGGAGGGGGGTGTCCCCTCCTCCGCCCCCGGGGTGGGACAGGGGGCTCCGGGGGAGGCACATCCCACCGCCGCACACACGCGGCGTAGGCAAAAGAGGAGACTCCTGCATCGTCTCCCGCCGAGGCAGACGGGTGCCAACGACAACAACACACACACACACACACACATACTGTATATAGACGCGCGCCAAGAAAGGGCTCGGAACTATTCCCGAGGTCCGTTGCAGCCACACCTGCAAGGTGGGTTTGCCTCCTTCGCCGGGGTGGGCTGCACTTCCTAACTGAGTGGTCTTTTATTTACACACACTTTTCCCGAGGTCCTTTGCTTACCCTAAGGTGCACTTTCGAAGGGGTGGTGGGCTGCACTTCCTAATTGAGTGATCTTTTATTTATTTACACACACACACACACACACACACATATATATATATATATATATATATATATATATATATATATATGCAGGTTTTGGTGTCCTCGGGTGTCTTCCCGTGTAAAAGTTGGGGTGTCTAGGCGACGTTTCGACGAGGTCTCACTCGTCATCTTCAGGCTGGTGCTTTCGGCTTCTTGTTACTGGAACAGAGCAGGATCTCAGTGTTTGAGTTCCTATAAATACTGTTGAGGGGGTGTGGTGTATAGCCTCCAATGTTCTGGGCAGAGAGGAAGTTCCCAGGCTAGTGTGCCTTTTCTTCTTTTGTTCCTTAATTACTTGAGGGATATCTTGAGTGATTTCTTGAGTGATATTCTGAGTACCACTTAGGTGGGTCATTAGGTGTGGATTAGTTGCTAAAGCCTTCGTGTCTTGACCTCTTGAGCTTTGTGAAGAGTTTTTTCTGAGAAGATGGCTGTACTGCACTTAGTTGTGCTCTGGCTTGGGCTTCGTGTATAGGGGCGAGCTGTGGTTTTGTGTCCTGTGCCAGCCAGATCTGTGTAGGGATTGCAGGGGGGTGCAGCATCCGGAGGTGCCACCATGGTTTGGCTACTGGATGGTGTCTGTAATTTATCTGTGGAGAGGGTCTGGGTTTGGGTCTGGTGTGGTTGATTGGTGATGGCGTTCTGTGTGCCTCTGGATCTGGTGTCGGTTTGTGCGTTTGGGTGTCATATATATGACACCCAAACGCACAAATACTCAAACTTTTCCCGAGTTCCTTTGCTTACCCCAAGGTGCACTTTCGAAGGTGTAAGCTGCACCTCCTAATTAAGTGATCTTTCATTTATTTACACACACACACCACACACACACACACACACACATTTATATATAGATACGCAAACACCCAACTACTCAAACTTTCCCGAGGTCCTTTGCTCACCCTAAGGTGCACTTTCAAAGGGGTGGGCTGCACTTCCTAATTCAGTGATCTTTTATTTACACACACACACACACACACACACACACACATATTATATATAGACACCCAAACACACAAATACTCAAACTTTTCCCGAGGTCCTTTGCTTTCCCCAAGGTTCACTTTCGAAGGTGTGGGCTGCACATCCTCATTGAGTGATCTCTTATTTATACACATACACACACAAATACAGAAAACTATTCCCGAGGTCCATTGCAGCAAACCTGCAAGGTGGGTTTTCCTCCTTCACCGGGGTGGGCTGCACTTCCTAACTGAGTGGTCTTTTATTTACACACACACACACACACACACATATATACACAGTGGTACCTCAGGTTACATACGCTTCAGGTTACAGACTCCGCTAACCCAAAAATAGTGTTTCAGGTTAAGAACTTTGCTTCAGGATAAGAACAGAAATTGTGCAGCGGCAGCAGAGGCCCCATTAGCTAAAGTGATGCTTCAGGTTAAGAACAGTTTCAGGTTAAGAACGGATCTCTGGAACGAATTAAGTACTTAATCCAAGCTACCACTGTATAGACACCCAAACACCCAAATACTCAAACTTTTCCCGAGGTCCTTTGCTTACCCTAAGGTGCACTTTCGAAGGGGTGGGCTGCACTTCCTAATTCAGTGATCTTTTATTTATTTACACACACACACACACAAATACTCAAACTTTTCCCGAGGTCCATTGCAGCAAACCTGCAATATGGGTTTTCCTTGTTCACAGAGGTGGTCTGCAATTCCTCATTGACCAATCTCTTATTTATACACATCCACACGCACAAACACACAAATACAATATTCCTGAGGTCCACCTGGCTGGGTTTTTTTACCCCCCTTTTCCAAAGCAAGGCTCCATAAGTTGTGACCTTTTAATCGGATAAGGCAAAATGTTAAACTCTGGATGATACCCTGAGAGAATGCACTCTTGTTTCCGAATTTTTTACAAGTGCTTTTGGGGGAGGGGAAATCGGATGGAGGTGTGCTTAATTCTTTTGGGGGGGGGGAATATTAGTAGCCAGTAGGCACTAGGTGATTCAACAGAAATCACTGCCTGTTTCTGCCATATCACATCACCGATGTACGTTCAGTCTGGCCCAACCCATCTCTTGCAAGAGTTTGAAGCAAGATCCCTTCCCAACTTCATCCCAGACTTGGTTTATGCATGCAATGGAGCTGAGTTCTAGTGCTTTACTTGGGCTGTTCTGCTTAAGACCACAGGGAGGCGTTTGTATACTTTTCACACAGCTTCAGGGAAAGACTCCATACAAATGTCTGAATTGATCCCATGAGCATCTGTTGCTCACTCAACCCCCCAAACGTCTCCCTTCCTTTTTTAAAAAAATAATAATTTTTATTAACAGGCCAATCACATTATCCAAATCACATTAATTCCAAATTATACAGCCAAATTTTAAATTTTGTTGGGGGTACCCATACATCAAGCTCCGAACGAGTCCAAACATCACTTATATTGCTGCTTTGATTAAACAGTTCTATCCAGTTCAATCCAGATAGTCCTTTATTACTTTCTTCATCTTCTTGTTGTTACCGTATATTCCTTTCTTTGCGATCTCTGATAATTTTCACAAGCAGATTGGAAACAGGCATCCTCTGTGTGGGTTTTATACTCTCCAAAAATCATATCGCTCAGGGACAGCCGCTATTCCACGCTTCCATAAAGAAATTAATCTTCGATCTGTCCTTTAATTTTCTCAGACTTGCCAAGTATATCAGGAGGCTCTGTCAGGTCAAGATTACATTCCAACCATCTCATTCCAGTAGTCCTGATTCTCCTCCCCCTGTCTCCAAACGTCTCTGTTCCAGAGAGGAGCACACCCTTTTGCTGAAAGCAGTAGGCACTTTTCTGAAGTGTGCAACAAACCAAATTTTGGAAAAGGAAACCTTGGTTTATTGAAACTAAAGAATAAAAGCACATAAATCACATAGTGCAATGTTACGACTACAGTGGTACCTCGGGTTAAGTACTTAATTCGTTCCAGAGGTCCCTTCTTAACCTGAAGCTGTTCTTAACCTGAAGCACCACTTTAGCTAATGGGGCCTCCTGCTGCTGCCGCGCCGCCAGAGCACGATTTCTGTTCTCATCCTGAAGCAAAGTTCTTAACCCGAGGTAATACTTCTGGGTTAGCAGAGTCTGTAACCTGAAGCGTATGTAACCTGAAGCGTATGTAACCCGAGGTACCACTGTATTTTATGTATGGCAACACAGGCATCTTTAAAATTGCAAAGGCCCACTAGAAAACTCTACTACTGTTTGTAGGCATGGGATCTGGCAGTACATTTATTTAATACTGGCTTGGTAGTGTAATATCTATTAAAGTCTTTATGACTGCTTTAGAGAGGAATTCCCATTTTTAGCTAGTATTGATTTGCTGGTCATAATTAGGAAGTAAGGTCTAGTGCTACAGTGTGTGATTTCCAAATGGCTTATGAGCCACATCCCAGGATTATGTGATCTTCCAAACCTAATGGTTTATTTCAGTGGGTTCCAGCATTCCAACTCTACATAGTATTATACTTTTAGGTTAATGCAAGATCATATTGAAGCATTGCTCTACTAGTATGGGCATGCATTACCATTTGTGCTGTTAGGGCATTGGTGATTGTTTCCATGGGAAAAACAAACTATCAGATATATTGATAGGTCCAGAAAATAGATAGGTAACCATTCAGAGGAAAGCTGGAAGTAAATACTAGTGGTGATGTGCCTCAGTCAACTGCAGTTACTGGTAGCCGTAGTAACTGATTTGAGCATCCCAGTTTTTGTGAGCTAGAGATATTGCTAGCATCCTTTCCAGGTGCATGAATGCACCTGGGGAAACATGCTAAATGGTACTAAATAGTTGCTAGAGCAGTGAAAGCATACTGATCTGCAACTAAATAGAGCTTTTCCGCAATCTAGCAGCAGAATCCAAAACTTTTGGTTTTGCAGTTGGATTTCTTTTGCACTGCAGTTACGTCTTAGAAGCAAAAGGCACATTTCTATCTAAGCAGCATCACTTTTAAGGCTGCAGTTTCATGTACACTTACTTTCAAATACATGTGCATGAACCACTGAAATAACTGTGCCTCTCTTTGGAGTAAATGCACATAGTATGTGAATGCACATAGTATGTGAATCTGGTTGGGACCGTAATAAATTTCATTTCATTTCAATGCACTTAGGAACTTTCTGAATTCAGTAAAACTGGTCTCTGCCCTACAACTTGACATGTGACAACTTGGCACCTGCACTTTGACATCTCCAGTAATGCTCCCAACATAAGCCACATATGTAATACCAAAATATGCAAGAAAGGTCCTAATTCTAATTCCCAACATTTTTATTGAGACATTGCTAAATCTCAAAACAATCCCTCAAGCTGAAACTGTATTGCCACCTGCTGAGCTTTTCTGAGCAGGAACTTGAACCTAAGGATTCCCCATTCTTAGAAAATGTGTGCGTAGGAATCCAGTGGATCATCAGATCCAGTGCCTTAGTCTGGAACAGGTTGCCTGCTGCATAGTCTGTTAAGGTTAGATGAGCAGGCAGCTATCTGCAAAGAAAGGTTCACAGGTATCCCTAGTCACCTTATGTTGATCTGACTAATTTATACACTGTTCCTTGCCCTGTCCTCAGAAGATATGGAGAATTGTTTCTTCTCTGTAATGCTTTCATTATATATAGATCACCTAACTCCCTTAGCACTCCATTTTGCTTCAAAGTCTATTTTTCATTTTTGTAATGCTTCTGAACTTTTCCAATACTGGCCATACCTCTTTGTGTCAAAAGCTGAATATAGTAATCTTAAGTATGGCATCACAGATCTTCTCTACAACCATGTGACTCTCCTTGGACTTGTATAACAATGCATTTGTTAATACTATCCACAGTTTAAGAATATTTATGTAACTTTTCATTAACACATCTCCCAATTTTTCAGCTTATACTGTATGATTGCTTTAAATTGTTTGTCCTTAACAGGATTTTATCATATATTTCCTTTTTCTAATCAAGCTTTTTTTTGCTGTAAATTGGAGCTGTGTTGTGATAATTGTGATTCTTCCTGCTCTGATTTTTTTAAAAGCAAATCCGTAGCTTAATATATATATATATATATATTATATATATGCTTTCGTATATTTAATGTGTCTCTCAAATATCTGTCATTGCAGTACCCTATACAGTGGTACCTTGGGTTACATACGCTTCATGTTACATACGCTTCATGTTACATACTCCGCTAACCCAGAAATAGTACCTTGGGTTAAGAACTTTGCTTCAGGATGAGAACAGAAATCGTGCTCCGGCGGCACAGCGGCAGCAGCGGGAGGCCCCATTAGCTAAAGTGGTGCTTCAGGTTAAGAACAGTTTCAGGTTAAGAACGGACCTCCGGAACGAATTAAGTACTTAACCCGAGGTACCACTGTACAGTGGTACAGTGGTACCTCTGGATGCGAACGGGATCCGTTCCCGTGTGTGTGCGGGTCGTGATTCACCGCTTCTGCGCATGCACGTGACGTCATTTTGAGCGTCTGCGCGAGCGGCAGAACCCGGAAGTAACCCGTTCCATTACTTCCGGGTCTGCCGCGGAACACAACCTGAAAACGCTCAACCTGAAGCTACTTTAACCCGAGGTATGACTGTATAATGGACCATTTTATAAAATGGACAGTGTTGGAGTAATATTTGGTTAAAATGGTTTGTATTCTGTTTAGGTAGAGGAAAATCGTTTCTCACTGTGCAATAAAGTATCATTTAACCTCTGATGTTCAGAAAAAAATAGAAGACCTTATTTCTATTTAAGTGATATCAGGGTGTGGTGGGGGCTGGCTCAAAACATTTTGCTATCTGAGACCTCCCCCTGTGCACTCACGTCTGGGACCTGCTATAGAAAAATTTTGCTTCTGCATTTGGGGCAACAGCGTGGGCATTCCTAGACCCTTTGAGACTCTCTTGTGAGGAAGGGTCCTTCTTCACAGGGAGAGAAATTGCGGGTGAGATGACCAGAGAGCACCTGCGCCTTTGCCATTTGTGACAAATACCGTTTAAAGTTTCACAGTTTACTCGTACTAAACTTTAAACAGGCACATTTGGGGGGCAACCTTGCTCACAATGCCTCGCTGTAAGGAAGGGCATCAGCCTTGGAGAGAGGGCCGTAGGAGTGCCACTGCCCGTTTTCATTCAGTGGTCAGTGTACAGATGTAGGGATGGGCAAATTTGCCTCTGTACAGTGATACCTCTGGTTACATAACCCTTCAGGTTACAGACTCCGCTAACCCAGAAATAGTGCTTCAGGTTAAGAACTTTGCTTCAGAATGAGAACAGAAATCGTGCTCTGGCGGTGCGGCGGCAGCAGGAGGCCCCATTAGCTAAAGTGGTGCTTCAGGTTAAGAACAGTTTCAGGTTAAGAACGGACCTCCAGAACGAATTAAACACTTAACCCGAGGTACCACTGTATTCCCTACTCCTTACTCCAGTGTTCCCCAACCTTGGGCCTCCAGCTGTTTTGGGACTACAATTCCCATCATCCTTGACCACTGGTCTTGCTAGCGAGGGATGATGGGAGTTGTAGTCCAAAAACAGCTGGAGGCCCAAGGTTGGGGAACACTGCCTTACTCTACATCTTTTACCCCAGTGAATGTGAGCTGCAGGTTTGGTCTATTCAGTAAAGTTTTGAGAAAGCAGCTCTTAACGTTCTTTGAACATTCCACTCTTGATTTGCCTTCTCTCTCCTTTTTTTCTTAGATGAAAAATGCACTGACAGAAATCATCCAGCTTGCGACCTTGGATCCGGACCCCTGGGTCTTAATGGTGGCCGATATCTTGAAATCCTTTCCCGATATAGGTTCCCTGAACCTTGATCTGGAAGAGCAGAATCCCAATGTTCAGGATATTTTAGGAGAACTGCGAGAAAAAGGTAGGTCTCCTTTCATGTAAATTCCCGTGAAATTGTTGTATTGCGCTTGCTTTGTAAAACAGGGATTGGGCTGTATTTAGATTAATAGATTAATCCTGCATTTCTCAGGATGTAGGGGTAGGATTGCCAGGTGTTCTGGGTCTGAGGCTCAGAGGAAAGATTTTTGGAGGTGGAATCTAGGGGAGTTCAAAGGGAGCATTTGACGGAAAATGTCACCCACCCGAGGGGCAGAACATGAATTGTAGAGTTGGAAGGGACCATGAGTATTATCTAGTCCAGGGGTAGGAAACCTAAAGCCCATGGGCCACAAGTGGCCTACGGGGGTTGTTTAACCGGCCCACGAGCAGCCCCTGAACTGAGCAGCTGGAAATCGCATCTGCGCAGATGCAGACGCCGGAAATTGCGGGCGCGCATGCGCAATCCGGCCCACAGAGGGATCTCCGCCGGAGTGAACTGGCCCAGGCGAGGTAAACCTTGCCGACCCCTGATCTAGTCCAACCCCCTGCAATGCAGGAATATTTCACCCAACGTGGGGTTCGAACCCACAACCCTGAGATTAAGGGTCTCACGTTCTGCTGGCTCAGTTATGCCTCAAGATATGTCTGACGGGGGATGTGAGATGGTGCTAATATTTAAGGGTCAGATTTAAGGTGCTGGTTTTGACCTTTAAAGCCCTTCACGGCCTAGGACCCTCATACCTATGGGACCGCCTCTCCTGGTATGCCCCACGGAGAGCCTCAAGGTCCATAAACAGCAACACCCTAGTGGTCCTGGGCCCTAAGGAAGTTAAATTAGCTTCAACCAGAGCCAGGGCCTTTTCAACACTGGCTCCGGCCTGGTGGAACGCTCTGCCTCATGAGACCAGGGCCCTGCGGGATCTGATTTCTTTCCGCAGGGCCTGTAAGACAGAGTTGTTCCGCCTGGCCTTTGGCTTGGAGCCAATTTGATTCCCTCCCCCTTCTTTCTTTTTTTCTCCTCCTGTGATGAGGCTGCATTTTTAATATTTTAATGTTTCAATATTTTAATGTTGTATTTTAATCTTATTTTTAAGTTGTATTCATTCAACTTGTTTTTATTATTGCTTGTTAGCCGCCCTGAGCCCAGCCTTGGCTGGGGAGGGCAGAGTATAAATAAAAATTATTATTATTATTATTATTATTAATATAGCCTGTGCTCTTGCCACTTTTCCTTGAGACTGAAAAGGGGGCTAAAACCCCATACCGGTCCACTTATCAGACCTGGCCCACTTATGAGGCAAGGTGAGGGACCAGCCAGTGGAAAAGGGGCGTTGGCAGCAGCATTGAAATCTCGCGAGATTTCAGTGAGATCCCGCTGGAAGCCAGTGCTTTGTGGGCGCTGCCACAACATAGATGAGAGAAGCCCATTGTCGGCAGGGGGGGCAGCACATTTCCATTTCACTGCTTGATGTGCCTCTCCTGCAGCTTACACATTGGGGGAGGGCTGTTCCAAAATACAAATCTCTTTGCACAACAAGTTGCCTGAATTGATGAGTGTAAATCATAGCTGTCAACTTAGAGATTTGAAAATAAGGGACCAGCAGCCTCGAACATAAGGGATCAGCAGCCAAAATAAGGGATTTTAGTCAGCCAGCTGAAATACGAAGTTAAAAGGGACTAGATAATTTGGGAGAGCAGCGCCGGTTTTTAGCCCTTCGTTTCCAGAGGTTGCTGCTCAAGACACCAGTCGAGAAAACACTGCAATTAAATAACTACAAGCAGCAACCACTTTTCACGCAAAACGAAGTCCAAGCTACAAAGCCCTTGGAACACCTGCTCTTGCGGTCCTTCCTCCGCTTTCCCCCTCTATGGTTAGCCCTTGGAACACCTGCCAGCGCCTCCTCCTCCTCCTCTCTCTGAACTGCTTTCTCTATGGTTGCCCTCACTCTCCTCTCAAGGCTCCTCAGCAATTCATAGGCCGTGCCAGGCTGCCCATCTCATCTGGGTCCTTCAGCGGTGCAGCCGCAGTACGGCCTAGCGGGAGCGGCAGCGATGGGCAGAGACGCTCAATTTGGCGGCCGCGAGGAGGATGGCGGCGGAAGGGCTTGAGGCTCCCGCCAGTCCCGGCAGGGAGGGGCTCCCGGGGGCTGAGGCTGGTGAGAGGAGGCCGGAGGGGGCTGGGCTGGGCAGCCAAGCAACACAGTTGGAGCCTCCCTCCTCCTTGGCCGGCAGGGAGGGAGGGAGAGGAGCTGCTTCCTTTGAAACCCGGGAAATTTAAGGGACATCATCAATAAGGGACAGCAGCGGGACACGGCGCTGGGATAAGGGAGTTTCCCGCCAAATAAGGGACGGTTGACAGCTATGGTGTAAATCAGGGTAGGGAGCCTCTGTCCCATGGTCCAAAGTTCACCCAGCGCAAGTATCACAGGAAGCCGTTTTCCCCAAGCCATGTCCTCCTGCCCCCATATGTGACCTCTGGTGGAAGACATGTAGAGACAACACCGGCTCAGCTGCACAGCTGAATTACACGTGGGGAACTCAGCCGATCTCTGGAGAAAGCTGGGGTGAAGTCATGGGCCATCAGTAGTCCAAGCCTGCTGGATTAGCTGTGCAAGTGAGCTCCCCATGGGGAACGTGCTGGACAAGATGAAGATAACTTGAGGAAATTGAGAAAACGTTTGGTCTTCCAGGTTGGGAGGAAGGTGTAGTTGTCTGCCCAAAGGACGAACGCTTTTCTTAATGTTGGTTGTTACAGGAACTCATTTCCTATTTGTTTTCCGATTACATAGTGAGTGAATGTGAATCGTCAGCTATGCTGCCGCTGGAGTGCCAGTACTTAAATAAGAATGCCTTGACCACATTGGCTGGACCACTTACTCCTCCGGTGAAGCACTTCCAGCTGAAACGTAAACCAAAAAGCGCTACTCTCCGAGCAGAGCTGCTGCAGAAGTGTAAGTATCAGGCACCTGTTAAGAAAAACACCAGAGGAATAGCCTCAATATTGTACAGTATTTGAAAAAAATGCAACATACACAGTAGAATTTGAGATGCTGAAACCAGCCTTGGAGGAAGTCTTGATGCTTTGTAGTCTAGAACTTTGATCTTCAACTGGTGGGATGGGGCTCTACTTAATATATTTAATATATGGGTGACCCCAGTTGGAGCCCCACCATTCTCCCCCTACCCAATCTCTCTCTCATTAAAAAAGATAAATGTAGAACAGTGAATTTTGACAGCTTTACGTTTTTCTTCTTTTGCTTCTGATTTTCAGGCTTCACACCTTAAAATTTCCCTTTGTTCTACAGAGTTGTTTAAAGGGGCAAGAATCATGTCATGTGTGAGAAGGGAAAGGCAGGCATGCACAATACATTCCTTTGGAATGGGTGGGTTGAGAGCTGGTGGCATTGATCAATATCAACATATTTTAGAATGAAAAGTGTGCAGGTGCTCTAGGACCAGGGGTTCTTCCTGTTCCAGGTATAGCACTAAAAAGGGGGAAGCTCTGTTTGTAAATTCAGTCTGTGCATTATTGAGCGGTATGATTTCTTTCCGGAGAGGGTCAAGTTTTAATTGTTCCATGAAGAGCACTGTTTAAGAATGACTTGATACGTTTTCCTGGTGGAGTATTAATTAGAATTATTTTTTGTAGCTACTGAAACTGCACAGCAGCTCAAGAAGACAGCTGGAGTGCCTTTCCATGCCAAAGGAAGAGGGCTAGTCAAAAAGATCGATACAACAAGTAGGATTTTAATTTTCTCTTGGATCTAAGAGACACGTATATATGCAAAGCATGAAACAGCTATTTTGAAGGATATATATATAGAGAGAGAGAGATAGAATGAGTATATAATCTTGCAGTTACACACCCCTTGAATAATACCTTTGTGTTATCTTAGAACATTGAAAATCCCACATTTTTATTTAATCAACGCTAGGTATTTCTTGTTCTTTTAAAATATTTTATTGACTTGTTTTTAAAAGTGCAAAGATAACAAAAGGAAAGAAGATAAAGAATAAAAAAATGTGAAAACATAAAACATTGCAGCCTAGAAGGACAAAAGTGCAAAGATACAGCACAGGGATAATAAAGTATTAAGTCATTCAAAGATTCCCTTATAAAATAATAAAGATATATAAAAAATAAAAGTATTCTCCACATGTGAGTTAAATCATTATTGAGCATTAAGTTCTATAAAGTCTTAGATGAGCCAGAAGTTTGCATATATTGGTGGCACCAAGCGACCTTGTGCCTCAGTATTCATAGAAGAATTCTGATAGCAAAGAAATACTTTTGGTGTATGAGATACCTTTTTCAAGAAGGGTAATTTGCTAAGCACTGTTTCTAGGCCTTGCAGGTAAGGCTGAAAATGGTTAACAAACTTTCTCTGTGGCCCCCTGTGAAAAGGTTTGCTGCCTCTGCTTTTTTATAGTGTCACCAAGTTGGGTTTTTCAGTAGCATTTAGTCATTCAGTGGTATATTATTAAAATATAAATAGCCATGCGAGGTTTTGGAATACTGGAAAACCAGGTTCTGCATTAGTGTTCTACAAGTGTTCCACAGAATATTGAAATAAATCACATATGCTTCTTCTCAAGAATCATATCCTGTCTCCTAGAAGGTACTGTAGGCAAACATGCAATTGGAGTTTTTAGAGTTTTTATCTCCAAAGGTGTAAGAGCAATTAACTGTCCAGCTACTCAAATTAAATGCTGTCCTAAATAAAAGTTGGGTTGTCTAAAAGGATGGGAGGGGAGGATGAGGAATGTAGCTTGGTGAAAGCTTTTCATGCAAGTTGATGTTCAGGAATCCTACTTGTGCCTTTGTGGTTCTGGCAGTAGTATTAAGTGTAATTGGCTATTCCCAGAAAAGAAATTCCCCTTTTCACATTTCCTTGCCTTCTGTTACCTTTTCTTTCTGAAATTTTCTGTTTATTTTTCATGGCAACATCTTTTCATGCAATCCAGGCATCAACTGTATTTACCTAGACAGGTGCTCTGTATCTCTGTAGCTTATTCCTTTCTCCCCATACTCAGTGCATTAATTTTCATTGCTGTGGTTCCTCTGTGATTCTTGCCCCCCCTCTCTCTCCCTAACTCTTCTTTTACTGCAGCAGAAATGACTATTGCTGCTGCTTCTCTCACCAGAAGAACAATTCCAGCCATAAGCTGCAGTGTTACAACCTGGGAAGAATTTTTCCCCATAGACAAGATTAGCCAGCAACTCCAGTGGAGGTGAAATGGCATCTTTCCTTTATGGACCATTTCACTTGCTTAATTAAGCCAGCCATAATCGCTCAGCCTGTCTCTGGTTGCCTGGGATTTTGCTCACAGCTGCATGTTGTGATTTCAGTAATAACAGTCTGAATACTGACTGTCCTGTCTCTATACTGGGGACTGAACTTTCTGAGACCTTGATATCTAGGGCACAGTCATACCCCCACCCCTTCATTGATGAGCATATTTCACTCTTACGTATACAGAATAATGAGCAAGCATTGCCATTACAGTGGTACCTTGGTTCTCAAACTTAATCCGTTCCGGAAGTCCGTTCCAAAACGAAAGCGTTCCAAAACCAAGGGGTGCTTTCCCATAGAAAGTAATGCAAAATGTATTCATCCGTTCCAGACTTTTAAAAACAACCCCTAAAACAGCAATTTCACATGAATTTTCCTATCTAACAAGACCATTGGTCCATAAAATGAAAGCAATAATGTACTGCTGTCACACAATCAGTCAGTAGCTGAACTGGATTCTACACAGTCACACACCCAAAAAAAAAAGCCGCAAAAGGGGGCCCACCAGGGGGCACATTGGAAGATGGCCGACAATAACATCTCTCCGACCCACACGAGGTAATTAAGAGGCTGATATGGGGAGTATGCAGCCTCCCTTACCCCCCCCCCAAGGAGATGGGGGGGACTGCCTTGCCAGCTGTGTCCATAATTCACCCCCGGACTCGAAAGAAGAGGGTGTGGGCACTTGGCACGAAGCCCTCGAGTGAGGCCGGTCTCCTCTGATGCTGTCTCTAATCGCACACTGGTTCACATTAGCTCGAAAGATATAATTGGAAATATATAATTGGAAAGAAGCTAATGGACATACATCAAGTGAAGATCGGGAGTAAAGACTGCTGATTAATGGATCTCTGTAAGTGGAGCGACGGGCTGGACAAATAAATCAAGTGATGAATAATCATTAAAAGACTGGTATGTTGGAGTGAAACGGAAAGGGGGGGAGGAAAAAACTTTTCTTTTTTTGCCTTATGTGAGTATTAATAACCCTCCCGTCCAGAGAGAAGAATCATTGCATTTTATTAATCACAAGCAGGATTTTGAGAACTGTGTGGAATGAATTACTGATCAAAGAGAGGACTGGTAGAAACATCGGGGAACGGAGGAAAGTTTTATGACGCAGTTTCAAATGGCGTCTCGCTAAGACAGACTTGCCTAAGAAGGATGAGGGGGAGGAGGACCAGGGTCATTGGAATGTGAATGTATGGTTATCGGAATGTGATCTTGACCTGGCAGAGCCCTCTGAGATATGTTTGGCAAGCCTGGAAAAATCAACGGACAGACTGAGGGAAATTTTTTTACGGAGGTGTGGAAATGCCGTCTGTCCTTTATGTGATATGATTTTTGGAGAGTGTAAAACCCACACAGAGGATGTTTGTTTTCAACCCGCTTGTGAAGATTATCAGAGATCGCAAAGAAAGGAATGTATGATAACAACAAGAAGATGAGGAAAATAACAAAGAGACTATCTGGACAGAACTGGATAGAACTGTTTAATTAAAGCAGCAACATGAGTGATGGTTGGACCCCTTTCGGAGCTTAAAGTATGGGTGCCCCCAATAAAAAATTTAAAAATCTGGCTGTATAATTTGGAACTAATGTGATTTGGAAATAATGTGATTTGATTGGCCTGTTAATAAAAATTATTAAAAAAAAAAGAGCCACAAAAACACAAAATAAATAGCAAAAACAGACAGACCTCAGCGTAACAGTCCAAACGAAAGTGTGGCACTCAAATCGGAGCAAGTTTGCCTTCCGAAAAAGGTTCGCGCACCGGAACACTTACTTCTGGGTTTGCAGTGTTTGGGTTCCAAGTTGTTTGAGAACCAAGGTGTTTGAGAACCAAGGTACCACTGTACAACTACAGGTGATCTGCTTCCAAGCATCCTGCCCTCCCCTTTGCCCAGCTACCCTGATCTCTGGGCACTGTTGATGCTTGTAGGTGTCCTGCAGGGCGTTCACGTGTACTGAAGGCTGCATTACAGAGAATCCTGACACATCCTCTCTTTTTGAACGAAGTAGCCTATCCACATGCTGGAATATAGTGTTGTATTGCCTCAGGGGTTGTAGGGTGCATTCTTCTCAGGTCTCTTTATACAGTGGTGCCTCGCAAGACGAAAAGAATCCGTTCCGCGATTCTCTTCGTCTAGCGGTTTTTTCGTCTTGCGAAGCAACCCCATTAGCGGCTAAGCGGATTAGCGCTATTAGCGGTTTAGCGGCTTAGCGGCTATTAAAGGCTTAGTGGCTGAGCTGCTAAAAGGCTCTTAGCGGCTTAGAAAAAGCGGGGGGGGGGGAAATGGCAAGACTCACAAGACATTTTCGTCTTGCGAAGCAAGCCCATAGGGAAATTCGTCTTGCGAATCTCCTCCAAAACGAAAAACCCTTTCGTCTAGCGGGTTTTCCATCTTGCGAGGCATTCGTCTTGCGGGGCACCACTGTACTTGGGTCTCCAAATGGAATAGGCACTGACTGTGTTGATTCCAGGAAAAAGCAAAGTTGCTGCGCCTTTGTTCATTCATTCATTCATTCATTCAGTCCATTTATACCCCAGCTTTCCTCCAAAGAGCTCAAAGTAGTGTACATGGTTCTCCCTCTCCTCATTTAATCTCCACAACAGGGGTCAGCAAACTTTTTCAGCAGGGGGCCGATCCACTGTCCCTCGGACCTTGTGGGGGGCCGGACTATATTTTGAAAAAGAAATAAATGAATGAATTCCTATGCCCCACAAATAACCCAGAGATGCATTTTAAATAAAAGGACACATTCTACTCATGTAAAAACACACTGATTCCTGGACAGTCCGCGGGACGGATTGAGAAGGCGATTGGACCGGATCCGGCCCCCGGGCCTTAGCTTGCCTACCCATGCTCCACAACAACCCTCTGAGGTAGGTTAGGTTGAGATGCAGTGACTGTCCCAAGATCAGCCAGTAAAATTAATGGCTGGGGATCTGAATCCTTGTCCCCTTAGGTCTGACACTCTAACCACTATAGCACCCCACCTGCTACCTCCCATAAGAGATGGTGAAATTTGGTAATGTTGTGTACTCTGATACCTTCTGAGAGCTACTTCGTTTAGATGTTAACTTCTAACAGTGAGGAATCGCCCATTTCCATACTTGGTGTCTTAAAACTGCCTTCCTTCCCCTAAGCATTCATGGGTTGCCAAAGTAATAGCCATATTTTCCCAGTTTTTACAGAAGTGCGTTAACAGTGTTTGAGAGTTAATGGAGTAGAATGAGTACTGTGTTGAGGAAGTAAGATTATGGAAGTAAGCAAAGGGGGAAAGGACATTTAAAAAAGCACGCATCTTGTATGTGTTGCTTCACAACACTAATGTCCTCTGGGCTACATTTGTGAATTCATCTATATGTATAATCAGTATTGCTTTGAAATGTTTTGGTCCTCAGTAGGAGTCTTACCTAACCCTAAGGGACGCGGGTGGCGCTGTGGGTTAAACCACAGAGCCTAGGACTTGCCGATCAGAAGGTCGGCGGTTCGAATCCCCGTGACGGGGTGAGCTCCCATTGCTCGGTCACTGCTCCTGCCAACCTAGCAGTTCGAAAGCACGTCATGTGCAAATAGATAAATAGGGACCGCTCCAGCAGGAAGGTAAATGGCGTTTCCGTGTGCTGCTCTGGTTCACCAGAAGCGGTTTAGTCACGCTGGCCACATGACCCGGAAGCTGTAAGCCGGCTCCCTCGGCCAATAAAGCGAGATGAGCGCCGCAACCCCAGAGTCGGCCACGACTGGACCTAATGGTCAGGGGTCCCTTTACCTTTACCTTTAGGAGTCTTACCGCTGTGTTCAGTTCAGTGATTTTTCCCCCTTTTGTTTTTGTATAGCTCCACTCAAAGGGATACCTAAACAAGCACCTTTCAGGAATCCCACTACTCCAAGTGTATTCAGTCCTGCTGGAAACAGAACTCCGATTCCACCCTCGAGAACTCCTCTGCGCAAAGAGCGAGGAGTAAAGGTATTTATGCAGCTCCAAGTGTGCTTTCCTTGACACTCTCCCTTGGCTTCTGAATATCCAGTCTTTTCAAAGTTAAAAAACAACAGCCCTGTGTATTTGTCCAACTAGCTTGGGTGTTATTTCATCCCTGATTACACAGTTTTGTTTTGTTTTTTAATTTAAAAAATCACAGTACTCTTTGGTATTGTGAGGTACAGTATGGATACATATACAGTCATACCTCGGGTTAAATATGCTTCGAGTTGAGCGCGTTCGAGTTGCGCTCCTCGGCAACCCCGAAGTAACGGAGCGCGTTACTTCCGGGTTTCACCGCGTGCGCATGCGCAGACGCTCAAAATGGTGTTGCGCATGCGCAGAAGCGGCAGAAAGCGACGTGCGCGTGCGCAGACGTGCCATCGCTAGTTACATTTACATCTAGATGCTAACGGGGCTCCCGAACGGATCCCGTTCGTATCTAGAGGTACCACTGTACTAAAATCGCTCCCCCCTGTTACAATAGGGGGGGTATTTTGTATAAGGGAAGAAGTTCTAACATGATGCACGTATGTGGAAGTGTAAAAGGTAGACAGGGCAATCCATGTATCAGGAGCTAGTAAACTCTGCAATAAATGTGAAAGTAAGTGTTCGTTTGGTGTATTTGTAGTTACTCGACATCTCAGAGCTGGATACGGTTGGTGCTGGCCGGGAAGCCAAAAGGAGAAGAAAGACCTTAGGTTAGTATATAGGGTTACAAACTGGTATATAGGGTTAAGTACAAAGTGATGTACTTTTGTACTTAATCTGTCAAATTAAATTTAGAGCTAAAGGCTAATTGTTTGCTTTTCTGTTCATTTGCCACTTATTAAAGCTGCTGTGAAATTATAGGGAGTTGAGATTTGATAATATGGAATAATTGTCTGTCAACTTGTGATAGGCTTGAGAGAGTGAACAATTCACAATAGGGCACCTGCTTGCGGACCAGCGGAGAGGTTTGGAAAATAGTAACACACATCATTTGAAAAATACATGCAGGGAAACAAGAGGGAATATATAAATGACTATTGATTCATCTATCTAAATCTGTTTTCATTAATAAAGAAAACCTACTATATGAAGACTGCCATGCGCTTGGACTTGCCTAGTGAGGCAAATTGAATTGTTCTGTTGTGTTTGTACACAAATTTGGCTGGATCTGAGAGTTAGCAAAACGAATAGCCACAGTTATGTCTGCTCTGAGTTCCTGCAGCCCAAACTTTACTTCCAGCTGTTTCTTGTACCATTCCCCTGTGGAATCCGTGCTTGTACAGAGAATTTAAAATTCAGCTTAGGATTTTATTTATGTTAAGTGATGACATAATATGTTTAATTTCATAAAGTGAAGATTTAAGGATGCTTATGTTTAAGTTAAATTTTATAAGAATTATGATTTGGGAAACTGTTAAAAGGATATGCAATGAAATTCAACCAAGGGGAAGCGGGGAAGTCATTTAACAAAGTTAATAAGTGTAAATTTCAATAAGGCTATGATTTATGTTTGCTTGTCTTATGTGTTTGTTTGTTTATAATATTGTGAAAACAAATAAAAAAATTTTTTTTGGGGGGGGGAAAGGAGAGAATTCAAAATTCGAAAGTAATTTTGGATTTTTAAAAATTCTTTATTTGGGTAACCAAAACAAGGCAGCAGTTATGGCTAACTAGCTTCTATGTTTGTTAATGGTGTAGATACAGAAGTGGTGGAAAAGCAAGCGAAAGAAGAGACAGTCGTCGAAAATGCTACTCCAGACTATGCTGCTGGTCTCGTATCTACTCAGGTAGGATTTAGAACAGTGTTGTATATTGGGCTGCTTTCTAAGCCTCATCCATGTAGGGCTCTTGCTCTGCAATCACAGGCACGAACGATGTACCCTGAATTGTCAAAATTATTTTTGAAATAGTTTAAGGATGCATGTGCTGTTTTACAGAAAATTGCCTCTTTGAACAATGACCCTGCCCTGGCTTCTACGAGCTATCTGCCTGCAGCACTCAGTGTCGTTCCATCTTCCTCTTATGTTCCAAGTTCCGACACCACGCAGCCCGGTAAGTGACACAATTTCCCATTACAGTGGTGCCCCGCAAGACGAATGCCTCGCAAGATGGAAAACCCGCTAGACGAAAGGGTTTTCCGTTTCGGAGGCGCTTTGCAAGACGAATTTCCCTATGGGCTTGCTTCGCAAGACGAAAACGTCTTGCGAGTCTCGCCATTTCACCCCCGCTTCCCCCCCCCTTTTCAAAGCCGCTAAGCCACTAATAGCCTTTTAGCAGCTTAGCCGCTAATCCTTTAATAGCCACTAAGCCGCTAAATCGCTAATAGCGCTAATCCTCTTAGCCACTAATGGGGTTGCTTCGCAAGACGGAAAAACCGCTAGACGAAGAGAATCGCGGAACGGATTCTTTTCGTCTTGCGAGGCACCACTGTATTGCACTTCTGAATGTGTTCGTTACTGATATCTTCCACATTGTAAAAACGACGACACTCAAAAGGCTATGGCAAGTACCTTCATCAGAATAGGTTTATTTAATGTTTTAAAACAGTGCACAGAGTGCAAGTCAAACGAGGACACATCACCTGCAGCAAGCTTTGAATCTGTTCTGTATTCAAACAGCCCAAAATACCTGAATTCAAGGAAGATGTGCAGGGCTTCGGTTTCTATAATAAGCCCAAAGATAAAACAATATTGCCTAGAGCTGAGGTGGGAAACATTTTTGGCTCAGTAAGCTCAATCCTTATCTTAACACACACCGGCAGGTGGAAGGAACAACTCACCTGCCAATCATCCAACATCAGTTGATTGGCACCTGTCAGAGTCAGCTCGTCAGTGTTTCCCAACCAGCTGGTTGCCTGGTACTTCAGAAGCCTGGCGCAAAAGCATTGCAAGCCGTTGGGAAGCCCTGCGCATAGGGTTGCAGGTGGTTCTCAGCCGTGCCTGCTAAGCCACTTCGAGGGAGACCCCACCACCTGACCCACATGTATGACATCAGGTGTAGGGCAGATGGGCATGGCTTGCCAGAAGCATCCTCCCCAGGCCAAATGGGGAGGCCTGTTGTGCTGGATTAGGTCTGCAAACTGGAGATTCTCTAGTAAAAGGTAAAGGGACCCCTGACCATTAGGCCCAGTCGTTACCGACTTTGGGGTTGCGGCGCTCATCTCGCTTTATTGGCCGAGGGAGCTGGCGTACAGCTTCCAGGTCATGTGGCCAGCAGGATTAAGCCGCTTCTGGCGAACCAGAGCAGCACACAGAAACGCCGTTTACCTTCCCGCCAGAGTGGTACCTATTTATCTACTTGCACTTGACGTGCTTTCGAACTGCTAGGTTGGCAGGAGCAGGGACCGAGCAACGGGAACTCACCCCGTTGCAGGGATTCGAACCGCCGACCTTCTGATCGGCAAGTCCTAGGCTCTGTGGTTTAACCCACAGCGCCACCCGCATCCCCAAGAGATTCCCTAGTCTGTACTAAAGTTACAATGCAAAGGTATGAAGCAATATCAAACTTGTTGTGAATAATACTTACTGAGACCTTGAATCCTTTCTGGGCATGGTCTGTGTGCTGTCATGTAGAGACCTTGCTTGGCCAGTGATGGATGGAGGAAGTTTCATCTTCCTTTAGGTTAGTTATGTCAACTTCTGCCCTAATTGCCACATCCACTCATTTCTGTAAAATGACAGGATTCTCTCAGTTAACATCCCAAGATGCAAAAATGAAGTTCCTCAAAGGTTCTTGAAAAAAGCACTGAGGAAATTTGTGCAGCGACAAAGTACACTTGGTCACTTTGTGCTTCTTTATTTATTACATTTCACAGCATTTATTAGGCTGCTTGATTGTAATAAAACCTCAAAGCAGTTTCATAAAGGATTGAGTGAAAAAGAGGGATGTGGCTGTTGATATTTCAACGCCAGGCAATTGTCTGAACTCCTGGGATAATCTCAAAGATTACCGGGTTTCGGGTGTCGCGTTTAAACCAGATCCCGCAGAAACTTCTGAAGCAAACCAGAATATAAGCATTTCGGAGGAAACAGAAACCAGGTGGCATAAAGAAAGGGTGGGCAATGTTTTTGTCCTCAAGGGCCATATCTGGTGGTGGGGAGGCATTTGGTGGCTGTATGGCACAATGTGGCGCTGTGTAGGACACGGGTGGCGCTGTGGTCTAAACCACAGAGCCTAGGGCTTGCCGATCAAAAGGTTGGTGGTTCGAATCCCTGAGACAGGTGGAGCTCCTGTTGCTCAGTCACTGCTCCTGCCAACCTGGCAGTTCGAAATCACATCAAAGTGCAAGTAGATAAATAGGTACTGCTCCGGCGGGAAGTTAAATGGTGTTTCCATGCGCTGCTCTGGTTCGCCAGAAGCGGCTTAGTCATGCTGGCCACATGACCCAGAAGCTGTACGCTGGCTCCCTCGGCCAATAGAGTGAGATGAGCGCCGCAACCCCAGAGTCGGCCGCGACCGGGCCTAACGGTCAGGGGTCCCTTTACCTTTATGTCACAATGGGCAGGGCGCTTACACACTTGTACACTCTCTCACCTCAGCTTCTTCCAGCGCACCCTCAGCACAGATGTCACTGGGTAGCTGCCTCAGGAGCATGGAGGGGAGGAGAAGGTTGAAACCTCCACTTCACAGTTCTCCCAACCAGACAACATCTCTGCCTCCATACTGCTTAGTCGAGGGATCCTTTCGCTGCTGCCCACTTGACGGCTGATGGGTGGAAAGTGACTGGGCTTGTGGGGCTCTGGAAGAGTAGCTGAGGGCTGTAGGTTGCCCAAATGTGGCTTTCCTTTTGGGTCATGCCTTCCTCCCCTGCTCGTGTCCCATGACTGGACTGAAGCACATAACATTAATTTTATAGGATCTTGCCTTTGTGTGGTGCTATTTTATATATATCTCTCTCTCTTTTTTACCCAGAGGAAGTGTCATGAGAACATTTCCCCCTGTATCTGGGAAGCATGGCGTGGTTCTTCACATTACCCTCTGTGCATAACCTTTGTGCATCGATTCTTGCCTTTGTAATATTTAGAATCTCTCTTTTTGAAATTAGAGTTGTGAGCGTGTGTAGGGAGGGATGTGAGAAAAGGTTTCAGATCTGAGAGAAACGAACATGAGCTTCAAGCAGCGATTGGCGATTTCAGATCTGACAGGAAGCAGGTGTGCTGTTTCTCTTTCTGGGGAAAGGCTTCAGTTGAATAATCTCAGTTTGTACCCAAATGGTGTCTTTCAAGCCCCCGCAGCACTCGGGATTTTAATTTCACGTACAGTGGTACCTCGCAAGACAAATGCCTCGCAAGACGGAAAACTCGCAAGACGAAAGGGTTTTTGGTTTTTTGAGTTGCTTCGCAAGATGATTTTCCGTATGGGCTTGCTTCGCAAGACGGAAACGTCTTGCAAGTTTGTTTCCTTTTTCTTAACACCGTTAATACAGTTGCGACTTGACTTCGAGGAGCAACTCATAGCATGCGGTGTGGTAGCCTTTTTTGAGGTTTTTGAAGACTTTGGTGATTTTTGAAGCTTTTCCAAAACTTTTCCGAAACCGTGCTTCGCAAGACGAAAAAATCGCAAGACGACAAAACTCGCGCAACGAATTAATTTCGTCTTGCGAGGCACCACTGTATGGCCTGAGGAATTCTGGGTTTCTGCAATCACCCGTTTTCCCTGTGCTGTGGCGGCAAGCAAGGAAGACAGAAAAGCAGACAAGCAAAAGCGAGGCTTTAGGTAAATGAAGGCAGGGCATCAGGAAGAAGGTTGAGAGACTGTCACTGCCTGTCGGAGGGGGACCATTTTGCTAAGTTACATGTTATCCTTTAGTGAAAAGCGTTAAAATTTGTAATGAGAGTAAACGGTACGAATGCCATTTTGTTGTTGCTGATGACATCGTTTGCTACAAACAGCTGGCTCTGTCCGGGAACCCTTGCAAGCAAAAGAAGAGCCTGCGACGCCCCCTGGCACTGCTGTCCCGACTCAGTTTAAGCAAAGGACACCTATGTATAACAGTAACGCAAACACAGCTGCAGCGACGCCTACCTCTCCTGTGACTCCTCCCGCCGCCCCTCCAGCCGTGCAGGCGCCACCGGCAGCTCCTCCTCAGCAAGCGCCGCCCAAGAAGAACCTCTCTCTAACAGTAAGCTAAGAGAACTCTCTCACAATGTATATAGACGATTCGCTTGGATCCTTTCCGTTGCTTCTACAGAAATAGCCAGGCGTTTGCAATCTTGTTTATGAATATGTGGATCTGGATAGTACTAAACCATAAGACCGCTAACATTCCAGGGTATGAATCATAGAATCATAGAGTTGGAAGAGACCACAAGGGCCATTGAGTCCAACCCCCTGCCAAGCAGGAAACACCATCAGAGCACTCCTGACATATGGTTGTCAAGCCTCTGCTTAAAGACCTCCAAAGAAGGAGACTCCACCACACTCCTTGGCAGCAAATTCCACTGTCGAACAGCTCTTACTGTCAGGAAGTTCTTCCTAATGTTTAGGTGGAATCTTCTTTCTTGTAGTTTGGATCCATTGCTCCGTGTCCGCTTCCCTGGAGCATCAGAAAACAACCTTTCTCCCTCCTCTATATGACATCCTTTTATATATTTGAACATGGCTATCATATCACCCCTTAACCTCCTCTTCTCCAGGCTAAACATGCCCAGCTCCCTTAGCCGTTCCTCATAAGGCATCGTTTCCAGGCCTTTGACCATTTTGGTTGCCCTCCTCTGGACACGTTCCAGTTTGTCAGTGTCCTTCTTGAACTGTGGTGCCATGGATATGGATGCTAATAACCTTGCTGCCACATTTCAAAAAGTAAAAACCAGGATGCCCTGAAAGTTGTTGATTTTTCAATTGACTTGCCTAAGATCCAGAGCAAAGCACCGCCTTTCGGAAATCCCCCCCCCCAATGTCAATTCTGCCTTTGAAATCCTGGTAATGTCTGGGAAAATCCGAATGTATGGCAGCCCTACCTTGTAGCTCTTTAAGAACACTTTCAGGATTTTCTTTACAAATAGACCTCAATACTGATGAGAACTGATGTGTGCCCTGCCTGTACAACTTCTGACCCACTAAGGAGATTCAGGTGGCACCTTCATTATATACCTTTAGACGCCAGGCAAAAACGTTCTTCTTTAACAAGGTCTTTGAAATGTGTTGGTGGGGTTATTGGGTTGTTCTAGTTTTTATTTTTATTACGTACTTTGTGTTTTTATGTCGTGACAACCAATCTTCCACCCGTGCCCGTGAGCCAATTTTGAGAAGTGGGTAAGACCGCTTACCTGCCAGTTACCAGATGTCATAATGGCTTCAGGTCATTGATACCTGCCAAGGGCTTGAAGGAGAGGTTCCTGCAACAGCCCTTTAGCTGAATGGTGGTTGCAGCAAGCTCCTTTGAAGATGCTCCATCAAAGATGCTGCAACCCTGATCGTGGAACTCATTTGAAGTCTCTTTAGAGCGGGGGGGGGGGGATATGCTCTTAAAAAGCAGAGATTTTCCCTTCCACAGAAAGAGCTGTTGGGATTCAAGGGTCTTCCTCCAGAAAAATAATAACTACATTTTCAAGTGGGGCACTTCGTACTCTCCAGAGGAAGCAGCTTGGATTCATAGAGCACTGGGGGGAGCAGCTGGAATCCAGGTTGACTCCTCCAGGCCCCCTTGGTTATACCAGGGAGTTCAGCTGATTTTCGGTGCTCTCGGTGAGCCCTGTTCTGCTCTTTAAACCCCAACAATTGGCTGATGGTTGGGGCTTCCATGTATCCCCCAGAGGGCTTTGCATTCATTTACCTTTCTATTTCGGTACTTGATCAAAGACCCCCAGAAAGATACCCAAGTGATGGCCTACTCTGTACCTCTATCTTGGAACATAGTGGTAGATTTAAGACACACAGACAGACAGAGAGAGAATATCAGCTGCAAGAATATGAAGAGCTCTGGCCAATGTACCACTCTTGACTATATGAAAATTAGATTAGAATAAAAGCTCTGAGGTTCTATCAAGGGGCACTGATGCTTTTTCTATTTCTGCACAAGATAAGGGATTTGTCAATTGAGAAACAATGAGGCTGGATGCTTGAACTTATTTTCTGTTCTCCCGATCATTTCCTCTCCTGAAATAAAATCTTACTGACTCTTCCTTGCAGAAGGAACAAATGTATGCAGCGCAAGAAATGTTCAAGACCGCAAACAAAGTCACAAGGCCAGAGAAGGCTCTCATCCTTGGGTTCATGGCTGGATCCAGAGGCATGTATTCTGAACTGTATTTCTTTGCCTTGAATATCAAAGCCAGGTGCCTGGATAATAATTTATTTATACCCCGCCTATCTGGCTGGGTTTCCCCAGCCACTCTGGGCAGCTTCCAACTGAATATTAAAAACAACACAGCATCAGACATTAAAAACTTCCCTAAAGAGGGCTGCCTTCAGTTGTCTTTTAAAAGTAAAATAGTTGTTTATTGCCTTGACATCTGCTGGGAGGGCGTTCCACAGGGCAGGTGCCACTGCTGAGAAGGCCCTCTGCCTGGTTCCCTATAGCCTCACTTCTCGCAGCGAGGGAACCGCCAGAAGGTCCTCGGCGCTGGATCTCACCGTCCGGGCTGAACAATGGGGGTGGAGACGCTCCTTCAGGTATACAGGACCGAGGCCGTTTAGGGCTTTAAAGGTCAGCACCAACACTTTAAATTGTGCTCGGAAAAGTAGTGGGAGCCAATGCAGATCTCTCAGATATTGTGGCTGGCAGGATCAGGGATAACTGGCAAGGTCAGATGAAGACATCTCATGCAGAGGCCCGGGATGCAAAAGGCTGCTTAATGATCCCAGAGGCATTGCAGTGACCTTCCTCTTGGGGATGGAGTAGGGGATCTGTGTGCACTGAGATACAAAGCTGTCCTTGAATGTCGTAGGTGCAATTATTTGAGAATAGCAGCACAGACTTGGAAATAAGTATATGAGGGTGCTGCTGGTGTGTACCAGAGCAGATCTTGTTTTCTGCATTGCTCCTGGCCTGAACCGCTTTGTGTTTGCTAAGCTCCCGCCCGTGACGCGTGTCTCCTGTTGCCTCCACAGAAAACCCTTGTCAAGAACAGGGCGACATAATTCAGATCAAACTGAGCGAACACACGGAACTGCTGCCAAAGGCTGACGGCACAGGAAGCACCACGATGCTGGTGGACACGGTTTTTGAAATGAACTACGCCACTGGCCAGTGGACCAGACTGAAGAAATACAAACCAATAACTAACGTTTCTTAAACAATTCGGTAATAAAGTGTAGACCAAACAGACCATAGAATAAGCCAGCATTGTACATAGTGTGTTGACTAGGCAGAACAACATTCCCGTTTAGGCCTCATTGTAAACCACCCAGAATACTCGTGGCGATCAGTTCCGGAAGCAGGAAGAAAAAGAGCAGAACGGCAATGCTTGTCTTTATTATTCTTGTCTAAGAGTCCCGGTGTGTGTGTGTGTGTGTGTGTGTGCGTGCTTGTGCAGCGATTGCAGCAGATTGAAGAAGAGCTGAAATGCTTCTACCTTTTACAGAAAGATTTATGTTCAAATGTCTTGAGAGGAATTGCCTTCCAGTTGAGACCATTTTTTGCAGCAGCGATGCCTAGTTTGACTCTAGGTTCTGCGTTTAAAATGGGCATGGCTGCATTTCTCTCCTTCGGCTTAGGGCGTGTTGGATGCCCCCCCCAATAGTGATTGTGAAAACATGAAGGGTAACGCTGTTTGTTTGTTTGTGTAAAGCCCAACAACACAGTCGATTCATAGAACTGCATAATGGCAGATACATCAACTTACATGCATCTGTCCTGTAAACGGGCTACCTTTTTTTACATGTGTACATTTAAAAAAATGTAAAGTAGCACTAAAGACCAAAAGGTTTAAGGGGTTTGTTTTGGTCTGGATGGCACCTCATTTCTTCTGTGTGGAAATGCAGGACTCTTGATTTGCCCTCGGCTCTTTAAAGGTTCAGCTCTGCTTCAGGGTCACTTAACTAAGTTCTGAGAAATGGAAGCATGTTACTTTTATGTTGGAACCAGCCCTTCTTCCCTCCTTTTTTTTTTTTTTTTTTGCCCAGCTGGTACCTTTTGAATCTACCAAAGACTGGCCTTTGAAACAGTGTCTGTGAATGTCATGGCGTGAAGTTACTTTGGAACAGCATCCCTGTGTCCATGTTGGAATGTGTTAAATACGAGTCATATTGGCAATTGGCTGGCTCACCCCTGATTTTTCCAGGGTTAATTTAGCTACCGTTGCTGGAGATGCATTTGTCAAGGAATGGCATCCTTCGGAATTTCCCTCCCCATCCACACGGACGTTACCTGCAGCTTCGCGAGATTGGAGAGCACCTTTTAGCAGCGGTCCTGTTGCAAAAGACTCTCTTCTCAGAGGGAGAAACGGAGGAGACTGCCTTCGGAGCAGTTTCCTAACTGCTATGCTTTCGGAACTTGATCATTTCAACAGTTTAATGCTTGGACGATAATAGAAGGAATCTTACAACTGGCATTTCCACAAGAAATGGTGGGTGCAGTTTTTTAAAAAAATTAATAAAGCCGATGTCAAAGAGAGGCACAGATCATTCGCAATTTAAGAGCTTTGTGTTAGCCCGGGCTTTAAATTGGAGCAAACTAGATGCTAGCTTTTAAGCCAGGCTTATATTGGCATTTATCAAACTGCACCTGATCAGAGAATCCACTTAAGAGAATCTAAAGCTAGGAAAAGAGACTAAGTCTTATTTTACATTATATCCTGATGTAACCAAGCTGTGTCTCTGGTCTTTGGTTTGATGTTACTTGCCCCAAAGAACTTGGAGGGTGGGAATGAGTATTGACAACAGAATAACCTTTGTTCTGGGAGGGGGGAAAAATTGCTCCTCAGCCAAACGATTATTAGGGATCAGTAGCAAATGTAAGGTTTCAGAAAGGGTTCCAGATAAAGGTCAGATATTTATTTAATTTTGCAAAACAGCTAAAGCTAGACTATGAAGTAATACGGATTAAAAACAGGATGGTGGGCGTTTTTTTGGCCATTTGTTTTGGTTTCACAGAAAACCCCCCGAAACATAACTATCAGTTTGGATAGCCTTTAATTCAGAATCTTATAGATTTTATATTCTTGAAATTAGAAGCTACGAAAAGGTTAGTATGTTGAGTGTTTTAAAATGGCAGCTGGCAAGATGTAAGAGACCTGAGCTTCATTCTTGTTCTCTCACATCTAAATTTCAGCTATGATAGGAAGGCCAAGTGTTTAGGACATAAGATTTTTTTAAAAAGTTTAGCAGCTATCACAAACGATGTGATTGTTTTTAAAACGTTAATTATTTTGACATGTTTATCTTGTTCCTTTTTTTTTTTTGGTCAGTTTTGAGTATGGCATGAATGTTAATGGCAAATTATTCAGATGGAAATGTTTAAAACATAAGCTACAAGTTGCAGGTTTAATCTTGTAAAGATTAAAATGATATAAACCAATGGATCAAAAGTTCTGCATGCCATGATAATTAAACATTGAGAATGTGATCAGACAGTTCTAGAAGTGAGGATAAAGAAAGCATTTGAATGTCTCTGAATATTTTTGAAATAACAGTACAGATGTTTGAAATACAGATGTGCTTGCCAGGGCAGACAATGAATAACAGTAAGCAAAGCACACACTAGTTTCAACACGATAGCATATTGTATTAGCCACAATATGCCACACATCTTGGCAAATGGAAGTTTGCATTCCCTTTTCTGTTTAGTTCATTTAGTGGGTACAAAAATGCTGGTGATGTTTAAATTTGCAGGAAGGAAGCTAGATGAGAAACTACAGATGGTAAACACCACCAGTTGAGGTGCTGTAAGAGGCAATATGCTCTGTAAAGAGATTTTTTGCGTGAAACCTCCCATCTTTTGTAACCTGTTGACATACGTAGCCAAAGCTGAACAGTTTGTTTCGTGGTAGGAGGAAGCCAATACATGTTACAATTTGAAAGTAGGGGTGTCTCCAGAGGGTCAAGAACATGCTTTTTACATGTGATAACCATTCCCACTTCTTTTTTGTCGCCCATCATTAACGTGGGAGGACTTCTCGGCGGTTTCAAAATAATATATGAACCCTCTCATTAGGGAGAGAAATTGCTAAGTCTCTACAAAGGGGGAGATCTACAACTGGCGAATACAATCTAAAATGTGCGACCCAGTTGTGATGTGACGAAGATCACCGCTGCCAGACATAGCAAGACAAAGAGGCCATTCCTTTCATCGCTGGCGAGATCGTTCTGCTCATCCATCCAGGATCTTCAGTCTGAGTGATGAAAGAAGCCAGACGCGAATGGCTGTCACAAAATTTCAGTTTCTTTTTGCCCAGCCATCAAGAGCAATTGAAACCCACCGGTTCCGTTGACAAAGCTTGAACGCAGACCTTAACCCTAAAAGGTTAACTACACTTTGAAAAATTCAGCTTTGGCTCTTGCCTTTGGTAACCACACAACTCTTTCCCCCACGGATCATGTTGAAGTGACACTTGCCAAACTTATCGAAGGTACTTTGATACTGTAGCTTGGAACTGCATTTTCACAGCAAAATCTGAAATCGGGAGAAATGTTTTAAGACCAGGCAAAAGTTTTAAGTCGGAGCCCTCTGGGAAACTGGTACCTTTATAACAAGCAATGTTTTGTAAAATGTTGCATGTTTTCTAATCTATTTTGTGTTTGTACAGATGTAAATTCAAAACCTCATGTCCTTGGGTACATATTTTCAGCATAATATAGTATGTATAATAAAGTTCAGATTTTTCTAAATAACCTCTCCTTGTAGCATCATAATGTGCAGCTATTCTTTCTAATTTGTTTCTATTGGGTTGTGTTACACTGCTCCCTGTACCTGTTTGCTATGCTGTCTCCACTTTCAATTCGTAGTCTTTTTCACGGTTTACATTTGTTGAGACATTTTTGTCATAGACATCTTACAATTGGGGGAAGGGGGGGAGATGGGGGTTGTTCTGTTGTTCTATTGCCTATTCTTAGAGAGGGGGGTGTTGTCAGCATCACGGGGTGGGTCCTTTGTGTATTTTTTATTGATATTGTGAGAAGTTGGGGTTCCCGAGCTTCGTTGGTTGTGTTTAGTCAATTGCGCTGTGTCTTATTTGTTGGGTCAGCTTAGCCATATTGATTTGTATGCTGTTGTGGGGGGGGGTAGGTCATTGTCCTGTATGTAATAAAGGGGAACCTCACTGGGGTGAGGGACGCGGGTGGCGCTGTGGGTTAAACCACAGAGCCTAGGACTTGCCGATCAGAAGGTCGGCAGTTCGAATCCTGAAACGGGGTGAGCTCCCGTTGCTCGGTCCCTGCTCCTGCCAACCTAGCAGTTTGAAAACAGACGTTGCAAGTAGATAAATAGGTACCACTCCAGCGGAAAAGTAAATGGCGTTTCCGTGCGCTGCTCTGGTTCGCCAGAAGCAGCTTAGTCATGCTGGCCACATGACCTGGAAGCTGTACGTCGGCTCCCTCAGCCAATAAAGCGAGATGAGCGCCGCAACCCCAGAGTCGGCCACGGCTGGACCTAATGGTCAGGGGTCCCTTTACCTTTTACACTGGGGTGAAGGCATCCTCTGTAGCTTGTCCCTGTGCTAGTTTGAGTTGGTTGGTTAACTTTTCTAGTACAGTGGTACCTCAGGTTACAGACTTCGCCAACCCAGAAATAGTACCTCGGGTTAAGAACTTTGCTTCAGGATAAGAACAGAAATTGCATGGCGGCGACAGCAGGTGGTCCCATTAGCTAAAGTGGTGCTTCAGGTTAAGAATAGTTTCAGGTTAAGAACGGACCTCCAGAACGAATTAAGTTCTTAACCCGAGGTACTACTGTACAGCGGTTTCTCATACGTTTTGGTACCAGTGGTCTATGTTCACTCCCGACAGGTCCTTCTAGTGTCTAGTTATGATATTTCTAGCTGCCAAGAGTGACTTATGAGTTCCTTGTACTGTACATGTGTGTTGTTGTCCTGGAAGATATTTAATCGGGCAAGTTCTGGAGTGGCTTCTATTGCCTGTTTTGTTATTTTGGAAATTTCCTGCAGCACCAATATCCAGAAGGATTGGATTTGGGGCCATTCCCACATGTGGAGGTACGTTATATGCCTATTGCGGTTCAATCTCTCCAGCATTTAGATGAATTTCCTGGGTGTATCTGTGCCAGCTTCCATGGTGTTAGGTATCATCTATATATATGTTTTAGGGTGAGTTCTTTTGGCCGAGGATGGATTTGAATGGTGATTTAGACCTTGGTCTCTAGACCATTGGGTATGGTTTAAGCCATGTCCTATGTCCTGCTCCTGCTGGTTTTTAATTGTGGCCTGTAGTGTATTGGAGTAGTATTTTCTTAACATTCTTAACAGCAGTTATTCTTAACATTTAATTAGGTTTTACAGACGACATGTGCAAAGTACCGTATTTTTTGGCTCTATAAGACGCACCAGACCACAAGGCGCACCTAGTTTTTGGAGGAGGAAAACAAGAGAAAAAATATTCTGAATCTCAGAAGCCAGAACAGCAAGAAGGATCACTGCGCAGTGAAAGCAGCAATCCCTCTTGCTGTTCTGGCTTCTGGGATAGCTGCGCAGCCTGCATTCGCCCCATAAGACACACACACATTTCCCCTTACTTTTTAGGAGGGAAAAAGTGAGTCTTATAGAGCAAAAAATACGGTATCTAATGGTTCTTTTTTTCAACTTGGTCTGTTTTGAGTGAATGGTACACAATATTGCTACTGCTCATATTCATGTTGGCAGTGGTTCCATCTTGTTTAATTGGCACTTATTTTACCCAGACCTCTCTCTGCTTATTTTAGTAGCTGCTGCTTAACTGTTTTTCTTTTCAGCTGGTGTAACTGCATCGTAAGGAAGACCAGCCTTTCACATGAGGTAGTGACATCCACTTTGCATATTAGTCAGGCAAGCGGGACAAACCATTCCAGGTTCTCCTCCATTCCCTGCAGAAAATGGACCTTCACGGTAGGTCCAACGTAACATTCTGTATTTCTCAAGATCTCGGTAAAAGAATACCAAGAGATTTATTGGTTCATTACAAGACAGCTGTGGTAGCCCCAAATTCCGATTGTGCCAAATTAGGGTTATGTCAAATTGTGGCAGCTTAAAACTGGAATACAATGCTCTGAGACAGTCAAACTTCTCATGTTAAAATTGCCAGTAGATTCATATGGCTGACTGCTGGAAGAATCACGGAGTTTCATTAAAGAAATGGTTCCCAACGACGCTGATTTGGGAAAACTATGACACTGTTTACAAATGGCATGAACCAAGATGGGCTGTCAACTTCGTTCCTTGCAGTTCAGTACAAGGCTGCTCATTCCATGAAGATGAAATGGCCGCAATTTTTATTTGATTTTTTAAAGGTGGCAGACTAGATACCGTATTTTTCGCTCTATAAGATGCACCAGACCACAAGACGCACCTAGTTTTTGGAGGAGGAAAACAAGAAAAAAAATATTCTGAATCTCAGAAGCCAGAACAGCAAGAGGGATCGCTGCGCAGTGAAAGCAGTGATCCCTCTTGCTGTTTTGGCTTCTGTGATAGCTGTGCAGCTTGCATTCGCTCCATAAGACGCACACACATTTCCCCTTACTTTTTAGGAGGGAAAAGGTGAGTCTTGTAGAGCTAAAAATACGGGATTTTTCTCACTTTAGAATTTAAATAAATAAACAACATTCAAACTGGCAGAGTTAACAGGAAAGGAACCCAATTGTCTGCATAACTGTTTGCATCTGCCAAAGGACTGTTGATAACAAAATATTATTTTAAAGCTGCTGGTTAACTTCTTTTTCATTATCACCTTGATACAAAAAAACCACTATTTAGCTGCTGAAGACATTCATGGCTTTTAAAAAGAAGAGTAAATGAGCATTAGTATGGTTTTTTAAAGGCTTTTATTATGCAAATACAATCTAAAAAAAATGGGCATAGATTTTAATATCAATTTAAATGTGGACTTAGGTCACGGTATCATTTTCCTTCTTTGAAACTCAACAGGAGACAGTTCTTTCTTTCAAAGCTTTCGTTGTGGTATGCTGCCTGTTTCCATCATGTTCTTGTTCCTTGGCAGAATATTACAATAAAACAAAAATAAAATCCAAAGCAAACCAGACATCCTTCTGAACAGAGCTCAATGCATATGGTTATACTGAGCTCTGTGCCTCTAACTGTATGACGTCCATATGCCTCACTTAATGCAGGTAATATAGGCAGCTCTACGCACAACGTTTTGCTTTAAAGGCTAATCATGTCTTTCTTAAGCACTATTTAAACACTTGCTGGGTGGTGACTACTATTTCAAAAAGCTATGCATATATGCCTTAATTGGTTGGAAATTAACACACCTTCAACTAGGAAATTCTGGAATGAATTGGTTTTTCACTCCTAACAGTTCAAGTGTTGTCATTATTGCTGAAGAGTAAACCTGGTTTGTCCTGAAAGTGGCTGAACTTTGCATGCCACAGTTCATGATCAGTGCAGAAGCAACAGAACACACTGCTGCAGTTGGCTCAGTGGATTAAAAATGATCTGCCCCAAACCCAATTCCTGCAGAATATATGTAAAAGACGTGTCCTTCCCTGACCCTATTCACAACTTATCTACAAGACAGCGTTGGCAGCAGGAACTGCAGTTCGTCATTATTTACATTCCTTCCTCTTCCATTTGTTTCTTTGTCTTCGTTTGCACTTCAGTGCGGCCAGTTTTCTAGGGGGTCTCTTCGCCTTCTTTTCAGCAAAATTCTCCCCGATGTGGTCCGAGCAGAACAACTGTCCAGTTAAGTTAGAATCAAGCACTGTCTCGTCTTGGTGGTTCTTGCAAAAAGAGTTTGGGCAGAAGTGGCAGAAGGAGACAGAAGGCTTGCCACATACATCACAGTGGTGCCAAGGGCACTCCCATTTTCCTACCAGCAGAAAAAGGGTACAGAGTCAATTCAGAAATAGCTGCATTCTTGTTTCAAATAATCTCAGCAGTGCCAATTACAGTGGTACCTTGGGTTACGAACTTAATTCGTTCCGGAACTCCGTTCTTAACCTGATGTGCGCTTTTGCTAAAGGGGGTTCCCGCTGGCATGTGATTTCCATTTTCATCCTGGGGCAAAGTTCTCAACCCAAGGTACTACTTCCGGGTTAGCGGAGTTTGCAACCCAAAGTGTTTGTAACCCGAGGTACCACTGCAGATTTTAAAGTTGTGGAACCAAGTTCTGAGCTTGTAAGGCAGTCGCTAAAGAACCCCCCCTCTCATTCATATACCGTATTTTTCGCACCATAGGACGCACTTTTTCCCTTCTAAAAAGCAAGGGAAAATGTGTGTGCGTCCTATGGAGCGAATGCAGGCTTTCGCTGAAGCCTGGAGAGTGAGAGGGGTCGGTGCGCACCGACCCCTCTCGCTCTCCAGGCTTCAGGAAGCTATCCGCTAGCCGTGGGAGACCCAGCTCTCCCACGGCTAGCGGAGCGCTGCATTAATCCCGAAGCTTGGAGCGTGCGGAGCTCAGCGCGCCCCAAGCTTCTGGGTGCCGGCAAGGTCTCCACTAGCCTAGCGGAGACCTTGCCGGCACCCAGAAGCTTGGGGCGCGCTGAGCTCCGCACGCCCCAAGCTTCGGGATTAGCGCTCCGCTAGCCGTGTCTAGGTTGCGGATAGCAGCCTGCTTCCCGGAGCGTCGGGCGCCCTGAAAGCAGGGCGCCCGGTGCTTCGGGAACACATCCGCAGCGTGGGGAGCCTTGCAGGAGTTCCCTGCAGGGCTCCCCACGCTGCAGATAGCAGCCTGCCGCCCGGCAGGTGGGGCGCCCTGAAGCAGAGTGCCCCTCGCGCCGGGTAGACATCCGCAGCGTGGGGAGCCTTGCAGGAGTTCCCCGCAAGGCTCCCCACGCTGCGGATAGCAGCCTGCCGCCCGGCAGGTGGGGCGCCCTGAAGCAGAGTGCCCCTCGCGCCAGGCAGACATCCGCAGCGTGGGGAGCCCTGCAGGAGTTCCCCGCAGGGCTCCCCATGCTGCGGATAGCAGCCTGCTGCCTGGCGGGTGGGGCCTGCTGAAGCAGAGCGCCCCTCGCGCCAGGCAGACATCAGCCAGCCCCACAAGCTCGGGGGACAGCAGGGAGGCGCAGCGCCACTATCCCGCTGTTCCTCGACCTGGTTCGGTTTCCCTGACCTGCTTTTGGGGGGGAAATAAAGGGAAATTTTTCCCCCTTTATTCCCCCCCCCAAAAAAAAACTAGGTGCGTCCTTTGGTCCAGTGCGTCCAATCGTGCGAAAAATACGGTACGTGTATTTCACCAAAGCATGGGCAGATAATATCTACTCAGACTTCCTAAAAGGTAATGGCAAAAGATGGTTGGGCTATGATTTCTAGGAATTCACTTGGATCCTGGACACACCATTTCAGTGCCATGGTGGAGCACTCCCTTGGGGGCAGGTATGCCAGGGGCCACAGGTCCATTTTCTCCCTCTCTTTCTGCCATCCCTTTTCTGTTTTTAATCTCCCTTACCACGCGGGTGGCGCTGTGGGTTAAACCACAGAGCCTAGGACTTGCCGATCAGAAGACCGGCAGTTCGAATCCCCCGTGACTGGGTGAGCTCCCATTGCTCGGTCCCTGCTCCTGCCAACCTAGCAGTTCAAAAGCACGTCAAAGTGCAAGTAGATAAATAGGTACCGCTCCGGCGGGAAGGTAAATGGCGTTTCCGTGCGCTGCTCTGGTTTGCCAGAAGCGGCTTAGTCCTGCTGGCCACACGACCCGGAAGCTGTACACCGGCTCCCTCGGCCAATAAAGTGAGATGAGCGCCGCAACCCCAGTCGGCCACGGCTGGACCTAATGGTCAGGGGTCCCTTTACCTTTACCTTATGCAAGCCATGTATGAGCAGGGCATGAGCCCTGGACTCCCATGCCCCCCCCCCCATCTTCCTGGGAGAAGGACTTCAGCACCACCCTGGCTGGCTCACAAACGACGTGTTATGAAGGTGTCTTGTTCAAACCAACCAGAGTTTGCAATAAAGTCCAGACTAGGGTGGGTAGTGGTTGAAGAAGCCAGTTTTAAAAGAAAGTGAAAGTAAAGGCTGCTTAAGCTTTCCCCTTGTCCTTTTCAAAAGGAAGACAAGGAGGAGCAGGCCATAAAGTCATGCCTTCACTTTTACTCACCAAAAGGGCGTTTCACCAAATCAAGGCACGAGAGATGATAAGCCTTGGTACAAGATTTTCGGTCGCATAATACAAGCTGGCCTCCATCACCACAACGGAAGCAGTAATCCTCAGATTTTTTCCTTGCTTCGTTCTTTGTTTTGCGTCTCCTTGCTCTTCTTTTGGTTTTCTTTCCTTTCTCCTCCGAAGCATTAGAGGACGAATTCTTTAAAAAAAGAATGAGAAGCAAACCATTGCAGAGTTACAGCTTCCCAAGAGAAATTGCAGAAATCAATACTCGCAAGCCTTGAACACCTGCCTGCAAAGATCTGGAGCAAAAAGGAAACCCCAGAAGGAGTAGGTTGCTGGACTCAAACCAGAGCCGCTAGAAATGGACCGCTCTAGCAGTTCAGCCGCTTTTCTCAAATATTTTATATTTCTGAGCAGCGTTTGACAAACTAGATGAGGAAGAAGTGGCAGAAGTTTATAAAAGAATACATGGAGGAAGTGGCCACAGTGAAGTTTTTCTCTTGTAACACTTGAACTCATGTACCTCTGGCAAAGCTAAATATTGGAAGACTGGAATGTGCTCTCGTGGGAGCCAGTGATGGCCACCAACCTGGATGGCTTTGAAGGAGGATTAGACAAATTCGTGGAGGAAAGGGCTACCATCAGCTACCAGCCCTAATGCTGCTGTTCCAGATCCACGTTGGAGCTGGTATGCTTTTGAATGGCAGCTGTTGGGCATCTCAGGTGGGCAGGGTGCTCCTGTCCAGCTTGCAGTTTTCCAATAAGCATTTAGGTGGGCAACTGGTTCAGTCCAGCAGGCTCGTATCATTTTCTTGAACTGGATGTTAAATATCGATAGGGTCCTGCAACTGAGGTGGGGGTGGGCAAATACGGCAATGTGATCGGCGCAGGGCATTCTGAAGTTTGCGGAAAATGTGGCAGCTTGCCTTTGGCCGGGAGTAGGCTGGATTGAATTTACAAGACCAGACCTTCAAGGTAGCTGCTAAATCTGATGACATATAAAGTGCTGAGCCAAGGATGGGGACTCTCAGACCCAGGGACCCAAATGCAGGTCACTCTGTGCTGAGTTTCATGCGCTCTGCAGCCCAGTCCCCCCTGAGCCCTGCCACCTCCTTGTCTTTGCCCAGACAGGCTACATTCTTGAACTGTGGTAATACATTTTGCTTGCCTGCCCCCTTTTAATAATAATAATAATAATAATAATAATAATACAGTGGTGCCTCGCAAGACGAAAAGAATCCGTTTTTTCGTCTTGCGAAGCAAGCCCATTAGCGGCTAAGCGGATTAGCGCTATTAGCGATTTAGCGGCTATTAAAGGCTTAGCGGCTAAGCTGTTAAAAGGCTATTAATGGCTTAGCGGCTTAGAAAAAGGGGGGGAAGTGGGGGGGAAATGGCGAGACTCACAAGACGTTTTCGTCTTGCGAAGCAAGCCCATAGGGAAATTCGTCTTGCGAAGCGCCTCCGAAACGGAAAACCCTTTCGTCTAGCGGGTTTTTCATCTTGCGAGGCATTCGTCTTGCGGGGCACCGCTGTAATTTATTTATACCCTGCCCATCTGGCTGGGTCTCCCCAGCCACCCTGGGCGACTTCCAACAAAATATTAAAATACAACAGTCTACTAAACGTTAAAGCTTCCCTAAAGATGTCTTCTAAAAGTCTGGTGGTAGTTGTTCTCTTTGACATCTGGTGGGAGGGCGTTCCACAGGGTGGGTACCACTACCGAGAAGGCCCTCTGCCTGGTTCCCTGTAACTTGGCTTCTCGCAGCGAGGGAACTGCCAGAAGGCCCTTGGCACTGGACCTCAGCGTCCGGGCAGAACGATGGGGGTGGAGACGCTCCTTTTGCCCTGCCCACAACTGGCATGTGACAGGGTGTCCATGAGGGGGGCTGAAGAAGATTTCCCACCTTCTCTAAGCAGCTTGGACTTAGAAAATGCTGGTTTCCATACTAGCCCTCCCAAGGACTGGTAGGGACCAGCCAGCCCAAATTAGCATCTAAGCACCACCAGGTAAGGTCACAGAAAGCCGAAACGTACTACTAGGGAAAAGACCCAAAAAGCACCCGGTGAACAACTGGCACCTATCATAAACTCACTCTTGAGTTTTGGGAATTCTCTGCGCTTTGGGACTTATGGAAGGAGAGCAGAGTGAATAAAAATCAATGTGTTTTTTTTTCTTTTTTAAAATTGGAGTTAAATCGGGTTTTTAAAATGCTTTAAAAAGTATTTCCAAAGATAAGCCTTCTATTTAAGTTACATTATAGTCCAGAGGCTATTCATCAGGAAATAAGGATTTGTTTTAAGTTTTTCATGTGTGATAAAACTCAGTCTTAAGTTTTTTTGGTTTTTGTTTTTAAAAAAAACCCCACAAAAAAAAGTTTAACCACATCCGTTAACAAACACGGATACATATGCTACAATGTTATTCCTTTAGTTAAATCAATTGTTTAAATTGCTATGAAGGAAATGATTATTTTTCTCCTTCCAATAAAGTACCGCAAAAAGTTGTCCAAATATAAACAGTTAACTTATGAAACCTCACAATAATTTCATAATTATCTGTCTATGTATTTCTAATAGTATAACCAAATCAGCAATTTTTGATATAACTGTAAAAACTACTCTGAAAATTTACTCTTCCAAAAATGAAACCCTCCTCTGGTTGTAAATATTAAGATTATTCCAGCAAGAATGAGTTCTTCTGTAAAAGAATTTAAACAAAGTCTTACTAACTAGTGATTTAAATTGTGATTTAAATCAAATCCACCCAGAGGGAGAGTCACGCAGGCTACAGCTTCCAGGAGAAGCATTTGGGCAGAGTCCCTTCGACGGTGTAGGGCTATGTTTCCCCAAACTATCTTCTATCTAGTATGTACCGATCATGTCGACTGCTCTAAATGTTGCCTGTATGTAATGTCACCGGATGTAAATTCTGTCTGAAAAGGTCCAAGACTTGCCAATTACAGACGCTTTGATTGACACATTATAATTTGACCTCCCTGACCCACAGTAAACCGTCCTAATTTGGTGGCCTATCTTCGATTACCCATTTTCGTGGGTGGGACTTCTTGCTGTTTCACGCCAAGTGTAAACCTTTAACGGACAGAACAGCCTCTGTCTTGGGTTTCTCGTTGCCTTAGAGAGGTCGAATCTTTGTTGCGACAAATAAAACGATAAAAGGCTTAACAGCCTGCTTTGCTTTGGGTTTTGCCTGGTTGTTCTCTCTTATTTTCACTGACCGAGGAACCCAGCTTCTTAAGAAGAACTCAGGTAGGGAGTGTTGGCCCTAGCTGAGCACCAATTTCCACATATCATATATGTCACCCTGAGAACTTTGGGTGGGTGAAATAGAAACTAAGCGAAAACATGAATGCATTGTATTTATTCACTCTGCATGTTGTAAACTGCCCCGTGATCTTCGTATGAAGGGCAGCATATATATTTAACAACAACAAAAGAATAATAAATACCGTATTTTTTGCACCATAACACTCACTTTTTTCCTCCTAGAAAGTAAGGGGAAATGTCTGTGCGTGTTATGGAGGGAATGCCTACGGGTGGCGGGGGGATCTGATGCAGTCGTGAGCAGAGGATCCATGGTTCCCCTTCCTTCGCTCACGAGTGTAAGCGGCTCCTGTCCGGTTGGTTCCTTTAAAGCAAGCAGGCTCTTTGTCCCTCTCTCCTCCCTACTCAGCTCGCTAAGCCGGGGATGAGCGGGGAGGAGGGAGAAAAGCAGAGCCTGCTTGCTTTAAAGGAGCAAAGCTGGAGAGGAGAGGAGCCTTCTCTCCTTATACCCCTCTTCTTCATTATTAGCAGCATCCTTCTCCACCCACCTTATGCATGCTCCTTGTCCCTTGAGTGCTTTTCCCTCCCTCCCCACTTAAAACGTGGTTACAAAGCACGGATCCACATGGATCCTCAGGATTTTTGCATTGGGCTACTCCAAACTCACTGTCAGATCACATGTCTGTGGCCACAGCATGAACCACAAAAATCATTCATCCACTGTTTCGTTTAGAATATTTTTTTTCTTGTTTTCCTCCTCTAAAAACTATGTGTGTGTTATGGTCGGGTGCGTGTTATAGAGTGAAAAATACAGTAATAATAATACATACCTTTGGTCTGTCTCCAAGAAAGCCACTACAGTTTGGAGCACCGCATTTACACACCGTTTTTTCATTGCCCAGACAGTCAAGATTGTAATTAAAAGTCAATTCTGTCCCTGAGTAAGAAAAAACAAAATAGATTTTTCACTGCAACTTCACACCTTTTCCGCTGGAAACCCCCCTCCCATGGCAATATAGGAGCAACTACAGTATAAGAGACGGAAAGGGGAACTGAAGATCAACAAAAGCAAGAACAACCATGCGATGGTTATTAGGATTTTGACATTGTATTTCAACCTATTCCTTTCTTCTCTGGCCTGTTTCTCCTGTTCGTGTCCCAGTGCCATATCGTTTTGATGTTTACATTTTCAAGTTTCACATCCTTACATTTTAGGAAAGTTGTGATTGTACAGCTAAAAAGACCTTAGTTTTTTATCTCGGTTTCTGGGAAACACTGACTGATTTCAAAGGAAATATTTTGTATACTGTAAAAGATCTATTCAGAGAGAGAGGGGAGATCAAAAGGCATGCAAGTGATTTAAGTCGGTTCCAAAGCAAAGCTTGATCTGCTGTGGGAAGCAGGATCCCCTGTGCACTTCTGGTGACCGAGGCAGGTCCACCACACATGCGGAACTGGTCCCGGCACTGGAGTAAATTAAGAAGCCTGTGAACACTACAGAGGACACTTTTTACACAAGGCTCTGAGCTGCGGAAAACGATTCTGCCGTCCTAACGTTCGTATGTACCTGCCGGGATACTACACACAGCAAACAGTCCTACACGAGTGTCGCCATGTACAGTCCATTTCAGAGTCTCACAATTTGGTTGGCAGCTGTGGTTCATAAACCGGGAATAATTTCCTTTGGGTCCGGCGTCAATTATGCGGTCCTAAAAGTTGGGAATAGAACCAGACGGGATTTGGTTTAACGGCAAAGAAACGTTGCTCCGGCAGAGCTAATCATACATGTCGAGTTGAACTTGTAGCTCTTCACGCCAACACAATGCTAAAATAGGCAGGCAGACTCCCAACGTATCCCTAGTTGTAACTGTACTACATTTACCGAATCTTCCCAGGTTATAAAAAGATACAGGAACAGCGCCACTGGAAGCATCTTTCAAAAGAAGTCTTCATTTGTGTATCTTTCACGTAACTAAAATCGGCATAAATCTACTCAATATTAGATTCTTAAAAGATAAATGTAAGAACGGTGTATTAATAGTTTTTGAATCCTGTATGCTACAGCGTTCAAAATTATACAGAGCAGGAGATGAAAATGCAGTCAACCTATTGCTTTGCTTGGGGATGGAGGGTCGGAGAATTTGGCAGGAAGAATTATAATGGTGGCGTGTGTTAGTTCACATGTATTGAAGGAAAGACTAGAATATCAGGGATATTAGGAGATCTACTCTGTAGCCATTTAAAGTCTCCTTTGCTAGGTGGCTCAGATCCTGCATTGCTGTAGTCCATGGGTAGGCGAACTAAGGCCCAGGGGCCGGATCTGGCCCAATCACCTTCTCAATCCGGCCCGCGGACGGTCCAGGAATCAGCATGTTTTTACGTGAGTAGAATGTGTGCTTTTATTTAAAATGCATCTCTGGGTTATTTGTGGGGCATAGGAATTCATTCACACACACCCTCAATATAGTCCGGCCCCCTACAAGGTCTGAGGGACAGTGGACCAGCCCCCTGCTGAAAGTCTGCTGACCCCTGCTGTAGCCTAAGAGGCAGGCACCCCTACAAAACAGCTTGACACCCTCAGGTAAGCTGCTACTTCAGCCGTGCTCTGGACAAGGGAGCCAGAAGCAACTGGCTGCAATAGACACACTCATATCATTTGGGCTAGGAGTCACAGAACAGCAGGTTCTGCTCAGGTGAGGACCAAAGTGAAGTATTAGTACAGTGGTACCTCGGGTTACAAACGCTTCGGGTTACAGACTCCGCTAACCTGGAAGTAGTACCTCAGGTTAAGAACTTGACCTCAGGATGAGAACAGAAATCGTGCAGCGGGAGGCCCCATTAGCTAAAGTGGTATGTCAGGTTAAGAACAGTTTCAGGTTAAGAACGGACCTCCGGAATGAATTAAGTTTGTAACCAGAGGCACCACTGTAGTATACTGCCTTAAACCCATAGATCTCAGGGCAGTTAACAACATAAAATTCCACAGGAGTTCCCCGAACTTCAGAGCATGGGATAACACCCAAAAGTCATATGATTTGGCATTGATATTTGGCTTTTTAAAATTGTATTATAATTTGGAATGTTTTAATGTGGTTTTTATTGGAGTGTTAAAATGGAAATTCAGTATTATTTTTTAAAAACAACATAAGATTGCAATACTAAAAAAACACACAAAATACATAAGAAAAATAAGGGGGGGGGGAATCCCCTTGAGAATAGCTTGTGTACAAGAGCAGCACCAATTCCACAACAAACTCCTGTTTGAGAAGCACCCTGAGGCAGCTTTTGCTGCCACTGATCACAATGGTTTATGGTAGTTGTGTTTTTTCTTTTATCTAGGTGAACCATGAGATTCAAATCAAGACATTTTAAAATACTATACCTTATCAATAGTAAGCATATAAAAGTGGGTGATGTCGTTTTCCTGAGCAAACTTGATTCTTGCCATGCATTCCTCTTCATCAATTAACTCACCAACGTACTCATTCACAAACTCACCCTGAGGAATAGATAATTTTATTACAGACATACCTCGGGTTGAATATGCTTCGAGTTGAGCTCTGCGACAGCCCGTAAGTAATGGAGCGTGTTACTTCCAGGTTTTACCACTTGCGCGTGCGCAGAAGCAACGAAAAGTGCCGCGCGCATGTACAGACGTGCCGTCGCTAGTTATGTTTGCTTCTAGATGCGAACAGGGCTCCAGAATGGACCCCATTCGTATCTAGAGGTACCACTGTATTTATTAACAGCATGCCACCCAGTAATATACAATAACGTATCAAAACAGGAATCGTAGAAAACCAAAATGTAAAGTACAGCATAAAACGTAACACAAAAGAACAAAATCATGTATGGTCTTTTTGAAGCAGGGAGATTGAAAAAATAAATAAATCTAATGAGTCTTATCCATACCTCGTCTATTCCATCTCCTCATCTCCCTTTTTATCCCCCATTCTCTCCTTAAACCATCATTGCTCCCATATATTTCATTTTATTGATTTGTAAAATAAAAAAACAAGATATAAACACAATACATAAGAGAAAACAAGAACAAACCAAACCAATTAACTCCCCTGCCCCAAACACATTAAAAACCAGTCAAAGGCCTGGTTGAAGAGGAATGTTTTCACATGGCTCCTAAAGGTATTCATGGTACCAGATGAACCTCCCTGGGGAGAACATTCCATAAACAGGGAGTTACCACAGAAAAAGCCCATTTTTGGGCCTATGGCAACCACTGATGCTCTTAGATAATCCTTTCTAGACCTCGTGTCCCCTAGATGTTCTGTATCACAACTCCAGTCAACCCGTGGATGATGGAGTCCAAGATATCTGAGGGGCACTAGTTTGGGAAGGTGGCCCTAGAGGAAGCAAAATAAGAGAACCCAGTGCCACGTGTACAGGGAAGAATTCTTCTTGTTCCAAAGCGAAGCACCACAAGATGCTCCCATGAATGGACCCAACTCATTTAACGCCTACCTTTTTAATGTCTCTCTTTGCAACCAAGCCCCATCCTTTGCCATCAGTCTTGATGATCTTCGTTTCCGGATACTGGCGCTTGGTGAAACACTGGTTTTGGCAGCGCTCTCCGGCCGGACAGACTTGTGGGTGGCATTCGTACATTAGCATCCGATTTAGACACTCTGAATCTAAACCACAGGGGTTCTCATCAGAGGGTTTGCAATTGCATTTGGGAATCTCAGAAATGTCAGCAGTGTAAATCTGAACTTTTCCAAAAGGCTTATTTACCTGAATAACATATTAAAAAACAACAACAATGAAGCAGTTATTGGCTATTATTTCTCAAAAAGGCAATCTATATTCCAACTCATTTAATCACTAAAATTAACCCCCACCCAACTAATCTTCGAAGCAGCAGTCAATTCCGTTTCAGGCAATCATCAATCAACATGGCGCTCTGAAATATGACTTTGCCTGATTTTTGGTGTGACAGGACTAAAGTGTTTAAATTTCAAACTTGGCATGCTGTTCCTCAGGTGGGAGAAGCACTTTTCATTGGTGCTGGCTACCGGTTCAAATTAACCTGTAGGTCTGAAATGTGACTTTGCCTGATTCAAACGGTGCCAGCCCGGATGCCTCTGAAGATATCATAGCCCCCTTTTGGCACTACACTGCCAAATCTGGCATAATGAACCCAACCTGCACCAATTTGGCCAGCTCTGACGATACCGTCTCCCAGTTTGGCTTGATAGTTCCAACACACACCAATTCAGATGCCACTGAAAATATTGTCCCTTGGCTCAGCACAAGGATCCTTGAGGGAGAACCAGCAGCCTTTATGTTTGGATACTAGGGGCCATTTTGAATCAAGATGGCGGACTGAAACATGACTTTGGCGTGACTTCGCTTTAAGTGTCCAAACTGTGCTGATTTGTATGCCGCTGAAGGTATTTCCACCCAGTTTGACGTGACTTTGTCCAATTTGGTGTGACAGTTACAACCAGAACCAGCGTGGATGCTTCTGAAGTTAATGTCGCCCAACTCAGGACAATGGTTCCTGAGGGACAGGCAGCAGCAATCTTTGCCTACACTGGGATGCAGATATCATGTTGAATCAAGATGGACCAAATAAACCATAATTAAGCATTAGCATCCCTCAGACACAAACTTGATTCAGGGCAAGGTGAGGCCCTTCCCCAGGTGAGGGACAGATTAGAGCCCTCAGTTGGGTGTGTGAACAACCCTAAAACTCGCAGATTAACTAGTCACATAAGAATCACATTATTTTTTCCCCCAGATTCCCAGGCAGTGCGGTAATAATTTTTTAATTTCACTATCCTAGACATATCTACTACTGACAACATCACTTTATTTATTCTTTTCCTTTTTAAATAGCTAGAGAGAAACCATTCCTCAAGAACAATATTGTTTTGGGTAAGGATTTGGTTTGTTCCACCTCCGTTCAAATGTGGATTTTAATTACCAACAGGTTTATATATTCTTCTCTAATATTCCAATGAGATTATAAAACCCTCGATTTATCTATGAACTTGTTGTCTTCCCAAACTAGACGGGTAAGGGAACCAAAGAACTGCCTTTTATTTCTTCAGCCTTATGACTGATGCAAGGCTCTTCAAAGTGCCATATTCAGGTCAACTGTGAACAACAAGGGCTTGAAAAACGTTCCCCAAGGGAACATCCATTCGTCCCAGTTCAAAAGATCTTGGGACACAGCAATGGGCTGCATGTTAGGATCCTGCCCTAAAACAGGTGAACTAAGCTTCCAGGGTGGATCAAATGAACAGCACCTGCCCTCAAGCACCTTACCTTGATGTGTTTGTAAGGGGGAGGTTTGCGCTCATTTTCCTGCGTTTCTTTGGCTTCCCGTTGGAACTTTATCTCTCGGAAGCGGGATTCAGCTTCTTGCAAAGCTTTAAAAATAAACTATTTGCATGAATTGTAGGAACAAATATTTTATCCACATGAACATTCCCTACCCTCTAACGTATAATGTGCAAGCAGAGATTATGAACATGCCCACTCACAGGATTTGAGGAAAGTGATTGGATATTTGTACCTCAATTGTCTGATCCAGCAGCACTTCATATTATCTTTGGGGTTGACACCAATGTTAAATGCCAGGTTTCAAATTAAAGAAACTCCACTATGAGGACTTTTAGGAAATAGAAAATCAATGCCCAAGACTCTTTTATGTAATATATTTATGTATTTGCCCATTATCCCACCACCCCTTCAAGAGTTCCTACAGCAATTTACAACGCAGCCTAAAAACATACAACGTAATAGTAAAATCTAATACTTGAAATGAGTAAACAGAATATACAAATGAACCACAGTAAGACTTCTCCATACAGTGACCGTAAACACATCATTTAACTGCTTGAAAGACAAGATATTAGTCTGGAAGTAGGGATCTGCACCTTCAGAAAATTTCTGACATCCTTAGTGTTTACAGTGCTTTCAATTATTCAAATTGCATTACATGCATTATCTCAGTGACCCTTACAAGCTTGTAAAGCAGGTCAGTAATCACTATAAAAAAATTCCTTCCAGTAGCACCTTAAAGACCAACTAAGTTAGTTCTTGGTATGAGCTTTCATGTGCATGCACACTTCTTTAGATACACAGTTGATGGACTTCCATTTCATGCGGCTCAATGTGGTGCCTTCCATAGTTCCAGTTACAGATAGGTAGCCGTGTTGGTCTGCCATAGTCAAAACAAAAAAAAAATCCTTCCAGTAGCACCTTAAAGACCAACTAAGTTAGTTCTTGGTATGAGCTTTCGTGTGCATGCACACTTCTTCAGATACACACGAAAGCTCATACCAAGAACTAACTTAGTTGGTCTTTAAGGTGCTACTGGAATGAATTTGTTTTGACTATGGCAGACCAACACGACTGCCTATCTGTAACAGTAATCACTATATTACAGATACAGAGGCTTGAAAATAGAGTGGCTGGACTAAGGTCACCTAGCCACTGTGTGACACTATAGAAGATCTGACAGGTTTCTGGGGAATTTGTGTTTCAAAGCATCTTCCGATCATCTCTGCTCATTCTTCTTTCTCCACTGCTGGATCTGCTGAAGGCCACAGTTGCAGTTACGTTCTCTCTCTCTCTTTTTAAAAGATAACCCCTGTTAATACCATTTCTAAAATAAATATACCCGTCTCTTGGTGAAAAGCAAGTTGACAAGTTTCTTCAAATGCAATGCAAGCAGAAACAAAGAGAGTTAAAATGCAGCCTCAATCCATTTATAGCATTGTGGTTCATGGCTGAAGTGCAATGGTGTTTTATTTTAAAAATGGTACTATCACTAGACAGCATTTTAAAAAGCAGAGACATCACCTTGCCAACAAAGGTTCGTATAGTTAAAGCTATGGTTTTCCCAGTAGTGATGTATGGAAGTGAAAGCTGGACCATCAAGAAGGCTGATCGCCAAAGAACTGATGCTTTTGAATTATGATGCTGGAGGAGACTCTTGAGAGTCCCATGGACTGCAAGAAGATCAAACCTCTCCATTCTCAAGGAAATCAGCCCTGAGTGCTCACTGGAAGGACAGATCGTGAAGCTGAGGCCCCAGTACTTTGGCCACCTCATAAGAGAAGACTCCCTGGAAAAGACCCTGGTGTTGGGAAAGATGGAGGGCACAAGGAGAAGGGGACGACAGAGGACGAGATGATTGGACAGTGTTCTCAAAGCTACCAGCATGAGTTTGAGCAAACTGTGGGAGGCAGTGGAAGACAGGAGGGCCTGGCGTGCTCTGGTCCATGGGGTCACGAAGAGTCAGACACAACTAAACAACAACAACAACTATCACATTGTATTACAGTACTCTGCAGGAGTGCCAGCTTGGCTCTGCAATCATGGTGCATGACCCTGGCACAGAAATTTGGGGGTACCTGGCCCCTTCATGGGGAATTTGTGGGTGCCTGGGCACCCAGGTCCCCAGGGAGCTGGAACCTATGGTACAGTCGAACCTCGGTTCCCGAACACCTCTGTTGTCGTACATTTCGGTTCTCGTACGCCGAAAACCCAGAAGTAAATGCTTCCGTTTTTAAACATTTTTTGGAACCCAAACATGTGACATGGCTTCTGCTGAGTGCAAGAAGCTCTTGCAACCAATGAGAAGCTGCGCCTCGGTTTTCAAATGTTTCGGAACCTGAACGGGCTTCCGGAACGGATTTCGTTCGAGAACCAAAGTACAACTGTACTCTGTTTTTAGCTTAATGATTAAATAGCCATACCATTTTTGAAGACTTTTCCAATTCCTTTAATTCCCTGGTACCGACTTCCCCTGTCTCCTTCCATATAGGGAAACACGCGAGCCTGATGCGTCCAGTAATAGTCTTTCGAGCCAAAGAAAAAGACAGGAAACTCTCCAATCTCATGTTTCATTTTCTGGATATTTGGAGGGACGTTTTTGGGATGGCAGACTTCTGCAGGCCACCACCTGCCCCAAAAGAAGAAGGGAGAATTTGAGAACCTTGTTCTCTCTGAAGAAAACCAAAAAAAGGTTGTTGAATCTCAGGCCCATCATGAATGGGCTCGTACAGGAATTCCTCCTGCTCAAGGAAAGGTTGGGATACAAGCATGCATTAATAAAAATAAAGGCCACTTCAAATAGTCATTCTATTTTTAGAAGTCCAAACCTGTAGTTTCCCAGTTTGACCCAAATAATATCCTGAAAATGGATTTTCTTTCCTGCTTTGCAGTCGTTGCAGTACCAGCTTCCATCCGGCATTTCAATGTTTAAACAATCTGGGTGAAACGCTGCAGGGCAAGATTCACAACATAAAAGGCTTCCCCCTGCAAGAAAAGAAATCCACATTTAAATAGCAATGTACTTGCTGAATGGTTGGCAGCACAAGTCACCTAACGGGAGGAGAAAGGGAGCCTGGGACAACACGCAGTGATCTGCCTGAACACCTGGCCTCCCAGATGCCTCCGAACGGTGAACGTGATCCCTCACAGGTAATGCAACTTTGTTCAGAACAGGTTGCACTTCTAATCTAGGGGGTGGAGCACCTTTTCTAGCTGGGGAGGGGGCACATCTCTTCATGGGGAACTTTCCAAGGGCCACATAGCAGTGGCAGGCAGGCAGGAGCTACCAATAAAACTGGTCAGTCACAGGAATGGTTCTATTTCTTACAAATGCATTTTTGTCTGTGGAAAGAGGCAGGTTCCGCAAACCTTTATGTATTTGTCACCAGTACATGTTTTCAATGTTTGATCGCTTTATTATTATTATTATTATTATTATTATTATTACTCTGTTGGGAGCCACCCAGAGTGGCTTGGGAAACTCAGCCATATGGGTGGGGTAATAATAATAATAATAATAATAATAATAATAATAATAATAATAATAATAATTACAATCCTCAAACCTTGTTGCTTGCATTTTTAACCATGTGTTTATTATGGTCAGCCAACCAATGACAGGACGTGAAGGATTTTTGTACAAATTCACAACCTCGGTGAAAGAAATTATGTAAAAATGATAAGCTAAAACTAACAATTAAGACACCTGAGACTTATATCTCAATGTAGTTTAGATGTGGTTCTAAGACAGTCACCTATACAGGCATTAACCAGGCCATATACCTGGTCACATGACAATGGGCAGGTGTTTTCTTAACTGTCCAGTACTGTATTCATTGGTCCCCTCAAGGAAGATACTGAGAAGGGACTCTATAGAATCTATGGCAAAGACTGAGGACAAAACTATCTTCTAAGAGGATATATTAGGTAAAGGTAAAGGGACCCCTGACCATTAGGTCCAGTCGAGACCGACTCTGGGGTTGCAGCGCTCATCTTGTTTTATTGGCCGAGGGAGCCAGCGTACAGCTTCCGGGTCATGTGGCCAGCATGACTAAGCCGCTTCTGGCGAAATCAGAGCAGAGCACGGAAACGCCGTTTACCTTCCTGCTAGAGCGGTACCTATTTATCTACTTGCACTTTGATGTGCTTTCGAACTGCTAGGTGGGCAGGAGCAGGGACCGAGCAACGGGAGCTTACCCCGTGGCGGGGATTTGAACCGCCGACCTTCTGATCGGCAAGTCCTAGGCTCTGTGGTTTAACCCACAGCGCCACATATGTCCCAAGAGGATATATTATGCCCTCTCTAACCTCAATAACACTGTAATAAAGGGACATGTGTCTGCGTGCCTTACTGCAAGTGCTCCACACACTGATACATTTAGACATAGAATTGTAGAGTCGGAAGGAACCCCATGTTTCACCTTGTGCAGGCATGTCCAACTCCCAAGAGACTGTGATCTACTCTCAGTATAAAAGAACTGGCAGTGATCGACTCATTGGAGGGAGGAGGAGCGTACGTGGGGCGGGTGGATTGCCCAGAGTTGTTGAGCCCAGAGTTGATGAGCTTTTTCGGGGTAGGATTGCCCAGAGTTCTTCAGCTTTTATTTGTTAACTTTTGGTAAACTTTATTTAATCCCACGATCGATAAGGGTCCTGCCATCTACCAGGATGAGCCGGGGGTCTACTGGTAGATCGCGATCTACCGGTTGGACGTGCCTGACCTAGGGCGACCAACCCCCTGCAATGCAGGAATGTGCAAATTCCTGGGTTCCAAATGCGGTCTTCCTGCACGCACCCTCACAACACACACATTTTGGAACGTCAAAGGAAGTTGTTTAAATATAATAAGCGAACTTTAAGGAAAGAAAACTTACTGCAGTAATACAGTGGTGCCTCGCAAGACGAAATTAATCCGTTCCGCGAGTCTCTTCGTCTTGCAGTTTTTTTGTCTTGCGAAGCACGGCTATTAGCGGCTTAGCAGCTTTAAGAAAAAGGAAACAAACTCGCAAGAACTCGCAAGACGTTTCGTCTCGCAAAGCAAGCCCATAGGGAAATTCGTCTTGCGAAGCACCTCAAAAAACAGAAAACTCTTTCGTCTAGCGAGTTTTTCGTCTTGCGAGGCATTCGTCTTGCGGGGCACCACTGTAGGTTCAATATCTTTTCAAAACAGTGAAATTTAAATGCCCATTACTTTTGTAAGAAAAAAATTAAGACACTCCTTTATTTACCTTTCGAGCATACAAAGCACCAGCTTACATTGACATGCGCGTGATGACTCTTCCCTTTAGTGGCAATGAAGTGGTTGGTGCAAACTATGCTGCTGGAAGTGATCACTGAGCACCCTGCAGCAACGCAACCGTCTCCAGCATGGTAAGCTACAGGGCAGCGGACGCAACGCACCATTTTGCCTGGCGGAAACAAAAATAAAATAAAATAAAATATAAATAAATTAAAAATACACGTGCATCACCCTTTAAGAAGATTGACTGAAAATGTTGGGGAATCAGTGGGAAATTTCATTGCCAATGGCCACGGTTCGCATGGGAAATCTTACGCTGCAGTCCCACTGCACTTGGACAGCACTCAATCTTAATTTGCACTGATCTGCACCGAATGAGCAAAAACAGGAACCTCCTTTGCCTCCCCTGCTCCCAAGTCTACCCCAACTAAAAGAGGAGCAGCCTTTTGGCGAGTAAGGCTGCTCTGGCACAGTGATTTCAATGGCCCACCCTAAGACAACCGTATCAGCAAGCAAGCACTAAGGTCTGGGCTTTAGGGTACTGTAGCTGAAGTAGGATATCGGTTATGAGTTTGAAATGTAATAGGGAAGAAAAGAAATGCATACTGAGAGATTAGATTGGAAAATTTTCAGACAGGATTGATGGAAGTCAAAAATTTGAATAAGATGTAAAAGTATATTTAATTACTGTTGAAAATGGTATGTAAAAAAAACACACACTAATAAAAAATTATATATATATATATAAAAAGAAAATTATTTTCGCTCTTCCTTCAGCCTTTTTACAACCATCTCCTCCCCCATTTTATGCCCATCATCCTCACAGTGTCCTGTCCATCAATAAACTGTTCACAGCAATCAGTTATGGGACAGAAAAGTCCCATCAGGACACCAGCCCCAACCTGTGTGACTAGACCATGTAAATAATGCTCTTTAAGTAATATCTAAATATAATGGTTCAGTTCTGACAATCCTCCCAAACCATGGGGTGCTAATACAATGAGCAGCGACGAGCATCAGGCGCCTCTGGGTTCCCCTCTGTGTGTAGGGGAAGATTGGACACTCAGCTTCTGTTTTATAGCAAGGAACTCATTCCGATGATATTCATTCGACAAAACAAGACTTATCCACATCCTGGCTTCATTCTTAATGGCCATGTGGAAATTCCCAATACAGTAGAACCCCTACTTATGACCGCCTCTACTTGGGCCCAATCCAAGTTGCGACCATGGCAAACCCGGAAGTAAATACCGTGTTTTTCGCTCTATAAGATGCACCAGACCATAAGACGCACCTAGTTTTTGGAGGAGGAAAACAAGAAAAAAAATATTCTGAATCTCAGAAGCCAGAACAGCAAGAGGGATCGCTGCGCAGTGAAAGCAGCAATCCCTCTTGCTATTCTGGCTTCTGTGATAGCTGTGCAGCCTGCATTCGCTCCATAAGAGGCACACACATTTCCCCTTACTTTTTAGGAGGGAAAAAGTAAGTCTTATAGAGCAAAAAATGCGGTACTTCTGCCATTTGCGCACGCACAGAAGCAGCTGCCACCAAATGCGTCTGCGCACAGCGGCACTTCTACTAGCGCCCCGGATCGACTTACGGCCAAACCTCCGGAACTGATTACGTCTGTAAGGAGAGGTTCCACTGTATATGTAGTTTTATCCTAGTACTAGTTATTTCTGAGAGCTTCTGCTGCTGGCATGGAAGCTCTTCATGCTTTTCGGTGAGTGTTCACATGACAAACGGCAGTAGCATCTAGGCTGTGGATAACATGGTGTGTGAATCACCTCTGCGACAGTACTCTAAATATGTAAGGTGGGGGAAGTAACAGAAAATAAATACCTTTGGATACTTTGGGATTTGAAGGGTTAGCAACGTGACAGTTCGCACAACTGTGGAGAGGGCATCGGAAACCCCTGTTCTCAAACACCGTGAGGCGAAACTTTTTCACGCAAGCTTCGTGGTAGAATTTTCCGCAGTGGGATACAATACAGCGTTTCACGACTGATTTTTTCTCTTTACACACAAAACATGTGTGAACGCCTAGTAAAAAGAATTAAAAACAAGTTGAATATTTTTAAACTCTAAAGACATACAAAACACCTTACTTCTACTGGTAATTAATTAAAACATCAGAAACTGAAGTTTCTAAATTAAAAAGCCACCACCACACTTAATAAACATTGTGACTGATTAGTTTTCACATGTACTTCTTCACTAATGCATCTCCTATGAATATTTAAGACCATGATCCTAAATGCCTCTATCAGGGAAGCCAGAGTTTCCATCTTTTATCAGCCACATTTTTTCAGCAGATGCACTATTTATACATCAGTAAGCTACCTGTATCTTAAATTTTCTTACATTTCATTGCCCTGCCATAATGTGCAAGCGGGGCTCAATTTCTTACAGATAAAAACATTCCCAATATTATATACAACATGAAGTACATGCACTTTCTGACACGCCCCCCCCAAAGGCAAATGAATCCAATCCCTATGAAAGCCATTATGAGAGAAGACAGGCTGTAACCCTGATCAGGGCAAACATCTACCTTAAATTATAGCTTTCCAAAAGTATATTCAGATTCTAGAACATCTAAAATGTCTCAGGGGTTTAGGCAGGTTTTGTATCCCAAACTGAAAATGTGTTTAGCACCGTAATAAAGAAAGGAACACAACACCTGAAAAGAATGAGAGAGATGTGATATTCTAATAAGGTAAAAAGAGGCCTGCTGGATTGACATGAAAAGCTGGTCTAGTCCAATGTCCTGTTCTCACAGTCGCCAACCAGATGCCAAAGGGAAGTCCGCAAGCAGGAGATGACTGCAGCAGTGCACTTTCCACTTATGATTCCCAGCAACAACAGAGAGAGACACACTGCCTCTGTATACAGTGGTACCTTGGTTCTCAAACGCCTTGTTACTTGAACAACTTGGAACCCAAACTCTGCAAACCCAGAAGCCGAACGTGCTCCATTTTGAGTGTTACGCTTCCGTTTTGAGTGCCACACTTCCGTTTTGAGTGTTACACCGAGGTCTGCCCGTTTTTGCTATTTATTTTGCATTTTTATTTTTGCGGCTGTGTGTGTGACTGTGTGGAACCCAGTTCAACTACTGATTGATTGTGTGACTGCAGTACATTGTTTCTTGCTTTCATTTTATGGATCAATGGTCTTGTTACATAGTAAAATTCATGTTAAGTTGCTGTTTTAGGGGTTGCTTTTCAAAGTCTGGAACGGATGAATCCATTTTGCATTAATTTCTATGGGAAAATGTGCCTTGTTTTCGGAACGCTTTGGTTTTGGAACGGACTTCTGGAATGGATTAAGTTTGAGAACCAAGGGACCACTGTACATTTCCACAGGCAGGTTCACACAATCCATCACAGAAGCGCCACAAGCAGAAAAAAGTAACACCGCAAGGAATGTTTACTGAGCAATTTGTTCCTGATTACCCATGCAATTCAACCAAGTCCTAAACTTGCAAGAGAAGGCAAAGCTCTTTCAGATCACTAGCCGAGAAAACCAGAGGAAAGCCTTCCCAATCCCAAATAAGAAAGGTTTTTTTGCAGGAGGGGGGAAAAAACTTAGAATGAACTTGATAATGGAAATCTTATCCTCCAGCTGAGCATGGCATTAAAAGATAACAATTTCTTCAAGCGAAATATGCAAATATTGCTGGCATGCATGAGCGAAGACTTGCCTGAAGAGCATTCGCTGCAAATAAAGTGTTCCGAGGCCTTTCCAGAGAACCCGGTGCATCTTGCATGAAAAGCACCAAAACACCGTCCTTCACAGAGCAGCAAGTCTCCAGGCTTTTCACAGAGCTATGAGAAGAAGAAAAGTTAAAGAGTTGAAAAAGGGTACAGGATACTGATGAACTGTTTCTGTCCTTCTCAGCTACCTTTCTGAGTTTTATTACATATTTAAAACCACGTTTCTATTCCACAATTTCAATCCTGTATGTATAAGCAAAGAAACAGGAAAACCCTCATCTCTCCACTCATTAACAACCTTTTTGATCCTTCGGTGAGAGCAATTAAAATCTTGCCCAATTCTATTTATGCCTACAGAGCAGTACATGTTACTGAGATCACTTCAGAGTACAGTCGTACCTCGGAAGTCAAACAGAATCCGTTTTGGAAGTCCGTTCGGCTTCCAAAACATTCAGAAACCAAAGCGCGGCTTCTGATTGGCTGCAGGAAGCCATGGAAGCCCCGCCGAACGTTTAGCTTCCAAAAATAGTTTGCAAACCGGAACAGTCATTTCCGGGTTTGCGACGTTCGGGAGGCAAAACATTCAGGAACTAAGCTGTTTGACTTCCTTTTTTTAAAATATAATATATTTTTTATTCTTTTTCCATAACAAATTATACATCCAAAACATCTTTTTTACATCCAAATTCCTCCTTATTGACTTCCCTCCTCCCGCCTGAAAAGCCTTCCTAGTACTTACTTTCTCCACATTTCTTAAATTTAAATTACACCACCATATTATTAATTAATTTTTTACAATCTAACAATATTCCTACCTTTCTCTTCACAGAGCTTCGTTAAAACTTACAAACGTTATCTGATTATCACTTAATTTTTGCATATATTCAATAAATTTCATCCAATCTTCTGTAAATCTTTGATCACGTCGGTTCCGGATCCTTCCCTGTTAGTCTAACGAGTTCCGCATAATCCATCATTTTCATTCTCCATTCTTCAATCGTAGGTAAATCTTCTTCTTTCCACTTCTGGGCCATCAAATTTCTTGCTGCTGACACTGCATATAAAAATATCTTCCTATCTTTCTTATCTATCTCATTACCTATTATTCCTAGTAAAAACGCTTCTGGTTTCTTTACAAATGTACCGTATTTTTCGCTCTATAAGACACAACAGACCATAAGACGCACCTAGTTTTTGGAGAAGGAAAACAAGAAAAAAAATATTCTGAATCCCAGAAGCCAGAACAGCAAGAGGGATCGCTGCGCAGCGAAAGCAGTGATCCCTCTTGCTATTCTGGCTTCTGGGATAGATGCGCAGCCTGCATTCGCTCCATAAGACGCACACACATTTCCCCTTACTTTTTAGGAGGGAAAAAGTGAGTCATAGAGCAAAAAATACGGTATATTTCAATACTTTCTTCAATTCATTATAAATCGAGTCTTATAGAGCAAAAAATACGGTATATTTCAATACTTTCTTCAATTCATTATAAATCATTTCCCAAAGCTGTTTGACTTCCAAGGTACGACTGTACATAAAACAGCAGCCTGTCGCCTACTCAAACAAAATGTCTCCCTTACCTGACAAACGTATTCTTTCCTTGTTGCTCCTCCACGGTCAGACTTCTTGTATGACAGAGAGGCTTCTGCAAGACCTTCATCTGCACTTTCATAAGGAGACTCTGACCTCTCGTCTCCTTGACTGTCTGAAATCTAAAGGAGAATTAATAAAAGGTGGGATTCAATGCCACATTCTTCCAAATACTGTCTGTGCAAGCACTGCAGCTTGCCAGATGCAACAATCCCCTCTTCCCCTCCCTGCCCCCCACGCTGTTCTAAGGGTTCCCCCAACCTCCCCAGAGCCAGTCGGGGGCATGAGAGAGGGGAACGCCCCATTTTGCAAGTGCAAGTCCCGGCACAGGGCTTCCTCTGATGGGGTGTGTTAGGTGAATCCTGCCCAAACTTTCTTACATTCTCATTCAACAAACTCCTTTTTTGTGTGACAGAAGACCCCTGCAAGTATGAGTGTGCGTGGCCCACTGTTATCGAATAGGCTCTACTATAAGCAAAAGGGAAATGGTCCTAAAAAGAAAAAGCATTTATGACATTTCAATGGAACATCTGTCAAATATTCAGTGAGTGAAATGTTTCCGATTCTGACATGGGTGCTTCCTAGTGGATAGGCTGTCTAAGGGGACTTAGAATGGAGCAGGAAAACCTATTCTAGGATCAAATCCATCATTACTGTTAATAATAATAATAATAATAATAATAATAATAATAATAATAATTTATTTATATCCCGCCCTCCCCAGCCAAAGCCGGGCTCAGAGCGGCTAACATCAAATGTATAATACATTAACATAAAATCAGACAATCAATTAAAATACATCCTCAAATCAGATCAGAATAAAATCCAATCGGATGGCAACCCGCAGATTAGGGTTGGGGACCTTAAATGCTCACCAGGCCCAACTGTTTGTACTGAACTTATATGGGCCTGTGAGAAAAATTGGGAGGCCACTTTCATGCAAGTTCTTATGAAAGGGGAGAGGGAGTCAGACAGAACCCCGACCAAAGGCCTGGCAGAACAGCTCCGTCTTGCAGGCCCTGCGGAAAGATGTCAAGTCCTGCAGGGCCCTGGTCTCTTGTGACAGAGCGTTCCACCAGATTGGAGCCACAGCCGAAAAAGCCCTGTCTCTAGTTGAGGCCAACCTAGCCTCTCTGTGGCCTGGGACCACAGAGATGTTTTTATTTGAAGACCGTAAGTTCCTCCGTGGGGCATACCAGGAGAGGCGGTCCTGTAGGCACAAGGGTCCTAGGCCGTATAGGGCTTTAAAGGTTAGAAACTAGAAACTGGAAGAGAGAAAAGTTCCAAGAGGGGCCTGTCTGTTGAACGGCTCTGTGGTTCTCCAATAAATCCCCTTGTAGATTTAGCAGTGCTTCAGAATCTCTGCCAACAGCACAGAACAATATCCAGTGAAATATCAGTGGACCACGATAGAATCTGGTTCTGAGCCAAGGTAACAAGGTGTTATCAATAAGGAAATGGAAAGTGAGAGGGGAAGCCAAAGAAGCGTTAAGAGTCAGTTGATGGCGCTCGGGAGAAATAAATGCTAAGACATAAATCCAGACAGTTAAATCTGAGATCATGAAATTTAGCTAAATGTGTTTAAAACTTACAACCTGGCTGCATATACAATGTGATTCCAACATGCAAGTGTAGAAACTGATAGTGAGTTCATAATACGGCTTTCAGAGCTTACGAAGAGCTTTCTCTCAGAGTGAGGACAGCACAGTAACTAAAGAGGCACTCTTTACCCAGAAGAAAAATTGAATGTGCATTGCCTCAAAAAGTAGGCCAGATATGCTACCTGATATAGGACGCTCTCATTCACTGAGAGTGATATCCTTAACATGCATGCTTACAAACTTTGCAGAATTCAGATTTTCTTTGTGGTTATTCGACAAGTACAAAATCTACATAACCCTAAAAATTCTAGGAATTCTCTTGCACAATATTATTGTGAACTACCAAAATTATTTGCTAAATCTGCTGCTAACACACTAAAAAGCACTCTCTCCAGTTCATTGTACACGGCAGATAATGTATTTGTGTTCGGTTTTAACTGCTGTTCCTCTTTCTTATTGTTTTTATGAAAATGTGATTTTAAATGTTATAAGCTGTCCTAAATGGTCTTTTCCATCAAGAGGGTAGGATATAAATGCTTAAATTAACATACATAAACACAAGCAGACAACAATATCAGTAACTGGGTTAACAGCTAGTCTCAACCAAGAAGGTCAAGGGTTTTAATTCCTCCAAGCCGGCTCCAAAATTTTGTCCCACCAAAATGCTTACATTGTTCCAGTTTCCTATATTAGTTTGTATGCTTTGTCATCATCATCATTATTTTTTAAAATAATTTTTATTGAATGATTTTATGTTACAAAAAACAATACAGCCGTACTACCACTAAATATAATTAAGAAATAAAAATTACATACATCGTTATTTAGTTTGTTATTTGTTGTCATCATTATTTTAAATTGCACTGTCAAACACACTGGAGATATAAAGGTCTAGAATATAAATTACAAAAAATAAAAATAAACAAACAAACAAGTTAACTTTATTTATTTACACAATTTATATACCACTTTTCCAGTACGTTTCCACATATAATGGAATGTGTTTTAGGCTTTTCTTGATTTTATCCCTCTGCAGAGTTGGGGGAGCCTTGTGAAATGGGGCCCACCTCCCAAAGACTGAGAAATTCCTAAGGGCTCTGGAATATTTTTGGCAGCTATGGTTGGAATAGCTGCTGAAACCCTAGTGGCCCTCAGGGATTAATTGGGTGGTTGCCATTGATTGCTCCAGAGTGCCCTCTTTTGCTGAGCAGAATCCACGCAACATCTTGGTACACACCGGAACTGAGGGCAATGAAGCAAGCGGGAATACAGCGGGGTCACAAGTGGGAAAAGGCTCACGGCAGTCTGGCCGAAGTGAGAGACTATTATCAGTCCACACCGAGTTAGTGGTGGAAGTGTAGAAACAGTCCCCCCCCCCAATTGCACCCTTTCAGTGTTGTCTGGAGGAGCTTTCCAATGTGGCGTAGGACCTTTTGAAATATGGCCCAGGGAAGAGATAGCAGAACCAACGGTAGAAAAATGCGCTGCGTTTGCAAGATGCTCCGAGGATAGTCGCCTGTATCCGTCAAGACCTGGGCTCCACAATTAAAGCAGCGTCAATCGTGGAAGTATCTGATCTGGTTTTGTGGAATGACCTCTGAGTTATCGGAGCTTGAGGATGTGGACAAGGTGCCTGGGCGAGTCTGGTCAATCACTTGTATACTTGACTCTTGCCATCCATTGCTTATTTTGTCTAGCAGGGAGTCGGTCCACGAGGGCCGTAAATGTCTGATGGAGGCAGCAGTCTCAGCTTCTTTAAAATAAGCCATTATTATATTGCCCCTGAAGAAATCTAGCCTATAAGTCAGTGGTGAACATTCCCTTCCTGGCCAAGGAGATCAAAATATCAGTACACCAGTAATAAAAAGATTTGGATTACACTAATCTCACTTTGGGGATTTTTAGTTGGGTTTCAGGGCTAGTTTTGGGGCAGAAACTATGCTTGGCATGACCTTTGTTGAGAAAAAGACGAGAGGGCTGCTTCCTTATTGATTCTCCTGGACCTCTCAGTGGCTTTTGATACAACCAGCCTTCTGTATATAGCTTTCTACATTACGTCTGGGAGACAGGAGGCGCTGCTTGATGGTTCTGCTCCTTTTGGGGTAGGCATTTCCAGAAGACAGTGCTGGGGGGTTATTGCTGGATCCCCTGGCAGTAGTGCTTTGATGTTCAGCAGGGTTCTGTTCTTTTACCCATGCTGTTTAGCATCTACATGAAATACTAGGTCTCTAGAGATCTGTTCTGAGGTGCCACCAGTATCCAAATGACACTCAACTTTAATCTCTCTCTTTCATCAGATGCTGGAAATGCTGCGGTTGTCCTGAAGCAGAGCTTGGGCATGGGTTGGTTGGATGAACTGGCTAGATAAGGGTGAATAAACCAAGTTCCAATCGAGATAAAAACAATGTCTTGTTGGTTGGTGGCTCATTCATCCACTAAGTAAAGCACTGTTGTTGGAAGCTCAAGTAGCACCTGCAGCTTGAAGTGTCTTTTAGCAGCTTCAACTGATGCACCAACTGTAACCTTGTCTGGATCGAGTTGGCTTGACCACAATTTCCCACAATCTAGTAACCTCCCACTTACCATGGCAATGTATTGTATGTAAAAGGTAAAGGGACCCCTGACCATTAGGTCCAGTCGTGACCGACTCTGGGGTTGCGGCGCTCATCTCGCTTTACTGGGCAAGGGAGCTGGCATACAGCTTCCGGGTCATATGGCCAGCATGACTAAGCCGCTTCTGGCGAACCAGAGCAGCGCACGGAAACGCCGTTTACCTTCCCGCTGGAGCGGTACCTATTTATCTACTTGCACTTTTGATGTGCTTTCGAACTGCTAGGTTGGCAGGAGCAGGGACCGAGCAACGGGAGCTCACCCTGTCGCGGGGATTCGAACCGCCAACCTTCTGATCAGCAAGTCCTAGGCTCTGTGGTTTAACCCACAGCGCCACCCGCGTCCCCTGTATTGTATGTAGGGCTGCCTATAAAAGTAAGTCTCTAGAAACTGTGCTTTGTCAGCTGTGATGGCTTCCAGTCCATTTCTGGGCCCAAAATGAAATATTGGCTTTCATCTTTAAATCCCTAAGTGGTTTGGGATGAGGTTACCTGAAAGACCACCTTCTCCCATATTTAGCTACACAAAACTTAAGGTCCTCTTGGGGTGCATCTTCCTCACCCCAAATGACTTAAGGCAGGTTAGCAGCAGGAAGAGGTTGGTTTTGGTAATGGCCATACGCTGTGGTCTAAACCACTTTTCCACCTTTGCATGAAGTGTACAAAGAAATGTATTAAGGGAAGGCATTATTTACAGAACACTACCATGTAAACGGTATGTAGCGGGTGAAACTAGGGACGCGGGTGGCGCTGTGGTCTAAACCACTGAGCCTAGGTCTTGCCAATTGGAAGGTTGGCGGTTTGAATCCCCACGATGGAGTGAGCTCCCGTTGCTCGGTCCCTGCTCCTGCCAACCTATCAGTTCGAAAGCACATCAAAGTGCAAGTAGATAAATAGGTACCGCTCCGGCGG